TATTGTCAATTGTGAATAAGAGTCGCCAGATTACCAACACTTTTTCCACCCACCGTACGTTATCACATTTCTAGGCCTGTTACCTGTCTTTTCTCTCACCCAATACCCTGCCCTCTTGCTCTCTCTCCCACACACACACACATTCACACCAGCTCCCGCTTTACTCTTCGTGAAAATCGATCCGCTACCGGCCAGGACAGCAGTCCAAGTCGGAACCGTAGTGTACCATCGCGATGAAACTTTACCTTATTACCCCTCGCATCGGCCGGCGACTGTTGTACGCGAGGATCCTCACAACACAAGTTACGGGAGCTCATCGACCGGTGTGCAACGAGTCCTCTAGCTGGCTCCCGCTATTACCGTTACAAAACTCCGGTAACAGCACTAAAATGATGGTCCTCGCGTGAACGAATAAAAGCAGAACACCGACGACGATGACGGTACCGCGGTTGGGAACGGTCGCGAGAGCACAACGGGACGAAAATAAATCACGACTAAAATCGGCCCCACACCGCGCACTAGTCGGCCGACGACGCCAGACTGCGCGAGAGCGCCACCTTCCTCGCCTATTCTGCTTCATCCCCCCCCCCTTCCTACCAGCGCCACCCTTTGTACCGCTTTACAACCTCCATCTCTTTCTCTCTCATGAATGTCTTATCCTTTCTCGATTCGTTCCACCCTTTCTTCTTTCTCATATCTGAACCATATTTGACTGTCCAATTCAAGATGCTATGATTTTTGATTAGATATATACCAGGAGGTAACAATATATGTATCTGGTGGGGTCATACATCCAACGGGCCCATAATGATTTGAATCCAGCTAACAAAGGGTACCATGACAATAGAGAATCGACGCGTTCCTTTGCAAAATACTCGCTTCTATGTTAGTTTCCTATTTAGACTAGTTTCCAAAAATCGACTATTTTTGGGCCAGATCTTAGCTAGTCAGACCTACGGAAGAGGCTTTCGTTTATGGCCTCACTGGGTTTACTACCTCGCCGTATCGTTATTCCCTGATATACACGGTTTCGTTCCTACCCCTATGTATTCGTTACCTTAAGATTTCTTCATTAATAAGCCTTCATTAATATGTTTCTTCTTGTTTCAGCAACGAGTCTCTTATCCGGCTAAATTTATTCCCTTTCTCTAGTGTTATGCGAATCTATCCTATATGTGTTCTCTTACCGTGTTTCCATTCTTGTCTATCATCTTCCTACCCTCTTCTTCTCGCCAGCTAGCCCAGCCACGAGCCGCACAGGCGCACCACGGCTACACCGTTATCGTGGAACAGGAACGGCGACTGCGTGCTTTCTAACGTTCTTTGTTCCACCAATTCTTTTCGTGTTCACCCTCTTCGTTCGACTATGGACACCATTCGTTGTAGTAGCGTGTGATCAGAAGGGAATTACCCAACCGTTCCACCCTCCCACAACGGGGGAATACGCTATGCCGCCTCTCGACATCGGCCGGCGGATGGCGACACGCGTTTCCATCCTCTTGTGACTATCATCGAAGGACGAATGACCAGGGGGGAGGGATAAATTATGCACTTTCGAACAAAAATTATGGTCATGACGTAAACTTGTTTCCAAGAATAAAATATATCACGTGTTTCACTTACATATGATGTAAATGTATAAAGTCTGATATTATATCAATATAATACATACAATAAACCTGACAGAGAAGTCTACGATTGGGACGAGTTTTATTTTTATAAACCTTAGTATAAAATGTAGGACATATGATATGTATAAAACAAAAACATACATGATAGATGGTCTCATGATTCTATTGATTGCAAAATTGAAATTAAAATTGATTGCCCAATCGCTATGAATAATCTCAACGGATGCCCCGTTTACTTATCGACATGTAATTTTTATACATTAAAAAGGTGGCGCTGCCGATCGAAACAAAAGACACGCGATTCAAGGGGTTATGGTGTATCGACAATATTTACTAAATACGTAATAAACGGAAAAGTACGTGGCATTGTTTCCCACAGTTCACCTGACATATGTACGTCGCATTATTACATGTTTGTATATATGTACGTACGTGAATTTGAGACTGTGATCATATCAATATTTTGATTAAACGACAACACCTGAATGACAGTATCGTTGAACAACATCGTTTACTCTAATTACGCCCGTGGAATAGGGACACGATTGTTTCATGTCGTCGAATTGAATCGATAAATGTGTATACTCGGATATTTATTGAAGTTTTCAAGCATCTTTGAGTATTTGCATGCCACTGAACCGTGCCTTGTACGAATTTCCGGCTGCTGCCGGGGCAATATCGGATATTTACTCCCAAGGAGTACGATGTTCGCTGTTTTATTGATGTACTCTCCTTGTGGACTCCTTCATTCGAGGGTTCACTACTTCGGTATTCGAAGCCTCAGAGCGGTAGCCATCGTACGTTATAAAGTATAAACTCGTTTTACAGAATGTTACACATATATTTTTTTAACCTCTCACGGACGTACTTGGGACGACAGAATAAATACACATTTATTTCATGGTCAACTTATAGCTGCATTAAAAATGGAACGACTAACTAAAGTCATAGCAATAGAAAGTGATTGCAATTGGAAGGCTCTAAATTAAAGGAATCATTAAATAGCTGACATTATGTTTCTCGTGATACGAATGAATAGACGAAAGGAAATCGAAAGAAAGGATCGTCTAAAGTACGATTGACATTTAGGTGTGGTCTTGTCAAAATGGATTCACTATGTTCTGATTAGACAACCGGCACTCCTAGAATGATTTTGTCGTTAGAAAGCACGGAATCCATACAAGTTCTATAAATGAAAAAAAAGAAGTAAATTAGGTAAACCTATTTCAAAATGGAACAATTGGTCGAGTTGATTGCATACTTTTTAATCTCCTTTACTTTTGTATTTTAAATTTACCGATGCAACAATATACAAAAAATATACTCAAATTGATCAGGCTGAACAATTGCACGTCAATTTCGAACGATTACTATTTAGTCACTAATAGCTTTCAGTGCCTTATCATTGGACAATGGATTTTACATACTTATAAAAATTTGGAATCTGCAAAACATAATAATACGAAACATTAATATGAAATCTTTTTTTCTAACTTAATAAACTACGCAGCAACGGTAATGAATTTTCGTTTCATGCCTTAATTTGCATAAACATCCATAATCTAGTTACTACATGTTATCACTTCGTATTCGAAAGTACCAATTTGCTAATTGGTCACAGTAATTTAATTAAGAGTACCCACCGTATGCATTAACCGTTTAGTTAATCGACAAGGATTTTTATATTCCCAGACTGACCGGATACACAAGATGACCTTGGACTATATCCATTAGTGAAGTACTTTACTCGGACCCATAATTTTGTTTTCATATTATTAATCTTTGCTTTGGAAGCATTACATAACCTATCATAAACTGATCGTTTGTACTAAACAGTATAACGTATTTCTTCCTTTTTTACTCTGCTTCTCAAACAAATAACGGACGTGGAATGCGTGGTAGGATCTGAAAAAAAAGCTGCAACCTTTATGCTCATCATAATGTCAGAGTAGGAAATAATTAATTCCCTCCATCTTCGTGTCACATGCTCTCTTCTTTCACGCCGAAAGAAATGTTTTGGGGTCATGCAGCTGCAAATTCACATTTTCTCGAAAACCTTGTAAATGAATGTATTTAAAAAAATAAACTGTACATATTATAGAACTCTTGTTGTAAAATGATATTTTAGTCCCCTTAAAATGTACAAATAATTCAAAATTAAATCAGATTTCCAAATTTGGATTATGTAGCTTATTAACTCTCCAATGGAATTGAGGATTCAACAACCTTCGATAGCTCAGTTGGTAGAGCGGTGGACTGTAGTCGGCTTGTTCAAATGATAAGATATCCATAGGTCGCTGGTTCAAATCCGGCTCGAAGGAATACATTTTTTTTCTTTCTCATTCTAACAGAACTTACTTATTATTTATTATATAATTACATGTATATTTTTAGTAAAATATTTTTAGTTATCAATGATTTTGCTTATGAAATAAATTGAAATAATTAATGTTATTAATATATTAATGAATGTGAAACAAATATGTACATAGAAAACAGAAAACATAAATAAATTTAATTAAATGATTATAGTTAGGTAAAATTTTTAAAAATAATTTGCGTATACATCATATATTCCTTTTCATACGGTAGATAGATATAAGTAGAAAATGGTTTAAAATAAAAAAATTTTGGTTCGACCGTGACAGGACTCGAACCTGCAATCTTCGGATCCGAAGTCCGACGCCTTATCCATTAGGCCACACGGTCAGTTGAATGATAGAATCCAAACCAACTATATATAGGAATTTCACAGACACCATTCATAAATTTTAAATAGTATACACCAATGCTTAAATTAAGTGTTCATAGCACTTCAAAAACTACAATATCAGCAGCTACAATAAGTTATCTTTTACATTCTAATATTCAATCGTATATAATGAAAAATATAAACAAATTGTACAAGCTATGCATACACATTTTTTCCAATGCTGCGAGATTCTTTGTAGAATCCCATAAAATCGATACCGTATACGAACAATCGTTACATGTCGTGTTCTAATTAATACACATGTATTCAATTTTTCACATATAGAGAATGATGCAGAGGGCGAGGAAATCGTAACGCTACCTATGGTAAATCGTGCAAGCTAGTAGCTATTCGTATGAACTATTCAGCACTAGATGGCGACATCGTATTATTCTAAACGTACATTTTTAAGATTTATTAATTTGAGACAATTGTAACAGATTTTTTTAATAATATGCATGTAGAGATTGCTATCGCCTGAATAATTGCGAGCACATACGAGTTATGGATCCTGTATCTCGTCTGTGTTGATACTTGTTAACTAATCTTTCCATTTCGTATCCGTTTTTCCATTCTACCTCATTTGCAAAACGGGAAATAACGAGTTCGCAGGAAAGATGACAACTTTTCAAAGTCAACTTTTGTATGCTTTAGGAAACAGAACAAAAGTTTTGCATGAGTTGAAAAAGGTGTTTGTTCGTCCTCTAATACAGAGTAAGTGTATTTCATTATGTATTAAAACTGTCACAGATCGTGTGAATATTGTAATTATACATTCTCAGTTGCTGTGAAAGCAATAACTGAAGAACATATAGAGGAGGGAATATTGGATAGAATAAGCCAAAAGTACAATATACCAGAAGAATCTGTAGACGAATACTATTCAGTTATTTATACGATATTGAAAGTTCACTTAGGCAGACTGTCTCAAAATGTTAAGCCTACAGAATTCAAGCAAACATTAGACGAACTAAAGTACCTATTATATTTATTATTCAGCTATTCTGAATTGTATTATTGTATGACATATTAATGGACATTATTTCATAGTTTATCCTCTGACTGCATTGAAGATTTGTCTACAGTGATTTATGGCCAGAAGCGACCAGAGTTGTTGACAGGCTTGATCAACAGAACTAAGTTTTATGCCCATTTAATATCTTGCAAGTGGCATGTGGACATCATAATTTCTTCTAGGTAATTTCTATAATAAATTAAAGTACTGTGTCGGTTTAAAAACTTCTGTTATTTTCAGCATCTTAAACAGAGTCTTAGAACCACATATTCTAATGGAATGGACATTCAACAATGGAGAGCGGCAGATATTTGAATTGTCTATGTCAAAATTCCATCAACTGAGACACACTGTAGCAACTTTACTTGTGGAAATGCAGAAAGTTGAACAACAGTGTGCTTCAAAAAATATTTGCAGTTGAGGATTATGTAAACAGCAATATAATGCTTTTCTCTTCTTTCAGTCATGTATATACAATATCATTTTATACATAATCATATGAAGAAACTATATAATCAAGTTTTATATTGTAAATGTATTGTTAAATCTAATGTAAATAAGTAATAAAGTAAAATTTAAGTGTTTTTATAGTCAGTTGTTTAAGAAAGTTAATAGATTTTAGTCTAAAGAAAAAAGAAATTTAAGATATATTACGCATTCGTATAAAACGCACCATTCGTAAGATAATTTTTTATTAAACAATATGCGAAGAGACCAAAATATGTCAACTTTGTTACCTACAGAGCACAGTAAATACGTCTCGTTGTGTGTGGCTGTGCTGTTTCGTTGGTGCTGTGAGAAGAAAGAGATTTTTCTCTAAAAATGACGTCCCTATTAAGGAACTGTTTAAAGCTCTCACGAAATTTGCCCGTCGCAACACCCAAATGTAAATAATTTCTTTGTTAATTCTGAAATTTCTCTTTTGCCATATTATGTAATGTATTATTAATTTAATTGATAGGTTATCCAAAACTTCTTCCCTCGTTAAGAACAAATACCACGACAGTCGAAAAAACGGAGACTCAGCGTATGTAAAGTTATTGTTCACTAGATATTTAATTACCATTCAAATAATTGTATAATTCTTACCGAATTTCTTTTAACCCTTTTCATTTTGCGTAATTTAAAGATCACATATCTTCCGTGTTTCAGTAGTACTAATCGTGTTAACGTTATATTTGAATCTGTTAACTTATTTTTAACAGCAACAATACGCAAACCCAGTCACGTGGATGTTGAAAACTTAAAGGAGTTTGGTCAATATGTTGCCGAATGCTTACCAAAATATGTACAAAAGGTTCAAATTGCTGCTGGCGACGAACTTGAAGTTTTAATCGCTCCAGATGGAATAATTCCTGTATTGTCATTCTTGAGAAATCATCACAATGCTCAGTTTATGAACTTGTCAGATATCACTGCGGTAGATGTACCTAGTCGTACATATAGATTTGAAGTAAGAATTTCTTCAGATGTTTATTAATATATTAATAATGCTCATAATATACAGTATTGTATACGTTGTTACTTCCAGCTTGTCTACATTATTCTGTCATTAAGATACAATTCACGTATTAGAGTGAAAACGTACACAGACGAATTGACACCTGTTCCATCAGTAGAACATATATTTGATGCTGCTAACTGGTATGAACGAGAAGTGTGGGACATGTATGGCGTATTCTTTTCAAATCATTCAGATCTTCGTAGAATTCTTACAGATTATGGTTTTGAAGGGCATCCATTAAGGAAAGATTTTCCACTTTCTGGTTATGTCGAGGTACACAAGTAATATAAATCTTCTTTCATTGAATAAGAAATCGAATAAAAAATGTTTTCGTTTTGTAGGTACGCTATGACGATGAGAAGCAGAGGGTGGTATGTGAACCACTAGAGTTAGCCCAAGAATTTCGTAAATTCGAATTGTCTGCTCCATGGGAACAGTTTCCCAATTTTCGGGAACTACCGCCTCCTTCCGATGCAGAACCAAAGAAGAAATAAGTCATGTTGCCGATGTCTTCTAATAGTGTGAGAAAAAATTTGTTTACTGTAAATTTTGCACATAGCAATCGCAAAAACATAATGAAGGGGTCAGTCTACACAACATATTAGTAATAAACGATATTAATACCGAGCCCCTTCAATAAAACAAATGCAAATCATGAATCACTTTTTATTAATCCTGAAGATATAAATAATCTGTTCATTCTCGTAGGATACAGCAAATGAGATATGCATGTTTCGTGTCATTATTTATTTTACATATTGTATAGTATTATAAATGTAATTTATTAATAACAAAGTACTTATATCCTACTTTTAAGGCATATTTTTCGGTGAATAGTAAACGAATGAATAACAAAATTGACTCTATATTCAGTGACTGAGTGTTCATAACAGTAGGAATTATATACATACTTATCTCTTCTTTTTCTTTCAAGAGAAGTGTAAGAACAAATATTCGACGTTTTCTTTACCGTTATGTTTACACTAAAAGAACGTTATGTGCACTAAATTATATTATTGCGCTTTCATGTATTTAAATTACAGTAGCACCAGCAGCTAGTGCGCTTTCGAACTAAGTACTTAATTATCCCTATGTGTTTCTTTCTTTCTTTTTTTTTTTCTAGTATCAACAAGAACATACATTCAAAGAGTAACTTTCTTTTTCTCACGTGTGTAAGGCAAGACACTTTCAATTTTGAAGGAAAAGAGAAACCGTCACGTTTCTTAAAAATATATCCTTTGAAAAAATTGTTTCTCCACCAATCCACCTGGAAATGTGCGCGTGTGGATCGTGTAACGGTCATCACAGTGCCAGTGGTATATACAGAACATTCATTCCTAACATCACAGTATTTCATAATTATACAATCATCGTTAATTATATACCGAGACACGCTTATATATATTAACATCTACGGTAATTATACAATTAAGCTCTTCCCGTAAGAGATAGTCAGATTCAGGCGTGTACGAAATACACTATAATTTCTCGACCGGGTTCTCTTTCTCCAGAGCGTCTTGCCTTCTCCTAATGAACGGCACGAAACCCCACAGGGACGCGCCCACCACCAGAATGACTCCCAGGATGCTGAAGATCGGACCGTAGCTACCGATCTGTTCGAATACAATCCCGCAGATCGGCGGGCCGACCAGTTGAATGATTCCGTTAACGAACAACGAGATACCGTACGATGAGGTTAGTTTCTCTGTGCCGAGCATATCGGCCATGATCACCGCGGTGATGCCTACGTAAATGCCGGACGCGAGGCCGAATATACCGCAATAAACCGACAGCATTGTGTAGGTGGTCGCGATCGGTAATATGGCTAACGAGATTCCAGAAATGAACAATCCACCGACGAAGTACCAATGCTTCGGCATTATCGAGACATCGGAGAGGGCCGAGCCCCCGATACGACCGATCAGATCCAATATGGAGACGGTCGATAGGAGAAGGGAAGACATATTCTTGTCGAAGCCTAAAGAGATCGCGTATGCTGGCAGTAGAATGACGAAATTCGTGTAGCTAACCGCGTTCGTCGAGTTTGAGATCAATATCACTAGATAGATAGGATCCTTGAGCAAGCTGAAGTCGAAGAACTTGTTTTCCTGCTGTTGCTGCTTCTCCTCGTCGTCTTTGGTCGTCTCGTTCACGGTCTTTTTCGTGAACGTGCTCGAGATCGCGTTCAACGTCAACGTGGACGCCCTTTCCGGGTGTAAGGCGGACAGAGTGCTACCGTGGTACGGCGTGCTGATGTAATTAAACGACGACGTGCTCGGCGATCGTAAGGGCGACTTGCGTCTCGACAGCCTGCTGTTATAATCGCCGCCGCCGCGTTCCGGGACCGCGTGCAACGCGGGCGTGCTGTGCATCTGGCCGGTTATCTCACGGCCGGTCGGCATACTGATCTTTCTTGTCCTTCCCTGGACCGGCGTGTTCTTGTAATATTCTAACGCGACGCTGGAAGCGCTTTTCGGCACGATCGGTGCAGCCTTCTCGTTCGTGTCTTCCGAAGAAATCACGTGATTCGATTTCTTCTCGTCCACGGGACTAGTTATCATTACGGGGGCGACGACGGCGGCGGCTTCCAAGTCACAGTTGTCATTCGACTCGCTCGAAGTCGCGGCGGGCACCATGTGTTTTTCCACCGGTTCGTACAAAAGCGCGCTCGCCCATACATTCAAAGTGACAGCACCCATTATTAATACTGCACCTCTGTAAAAAAGCAAAATAAACTTTAGCGTTCACACGTTCGGTCGACAATCAGAATTTTGCTATATAGCTTACAATATCGTCATCGGGGGAACATTCCGTGGCTGTGGAAAATCAAAATTTTAATCGAAACGAAAAACATTGGCGAAACGGTCGCAAGCTTTTCCAACTACAGAAGATCAATGTAAAGAAGAAAATAACGTTTTGTACCCGCTGACGGTAATCGGACAGATAATGATCCTTAATTTATATGGAATGCTACACACACCAAAGATTCATGATTAACGAATGATCGAGAACAGGCGAGAAATGGTCTCAGTTCGTTATTGTTGTAAAACTGAAATGGAAACAGATGATATATTTTTGAAAGATTTTTTTATGGTCGTTTTATAAGGGATCTGAATGTATGTAATATGACTGTGATGCAATAAAATGAAAAGAATTCAAAAGATAGTAATTATTACAGGCGTTTATAAAAAACGCGTTATTTTTTATATTCCTGATATGCTTTAATTACAGGAGTAGAACAAATTTCCAAATATCATGTCTTATTATTTATAAGTTGTACAAAAAAAAAAAAACAACCAATATAAAAAAGTCAATACCATGGGTCACAGGTACTCCTTAGTTAACAGTGCCAATAATACTGCCCGTGGTAATTCATACAACATCGCGAGTATTTCTCATTTACAAGTAATAATATAATAAATTAATTAACACTGGTTTACATATGTTTGGTAACCTATCACAGATAAATATCACTATTGAAGTCTCATATATTCCAAGACATATGTTACACAGTTATCACGATAATTATTACAATTATATATACGAAAATACATGAGACTTCCTTTGATAATACTCTTAAAACAGCAGGTTTTCATAGTCTGCGCCATAGTCATCCTCCCATCTAGGGCTCAGACTATGACGCACCCCACCAACTTTGTGCGACAATCTGAAACCGTCCGTACAAAGAGATTTACACGCGGAACCAAGAAGCTGGAATATATACATATCTCCTGACTGGGTATGCATTCATGCGAAACACAAATATCGATTCAACAAAATTCAGCGTGATGCAAAACGTGCATGAAATTTCTTCGAACGATAACACTCCTCTGTGGGCGTTGCGCTAAAAACACAGAAATGTAAGAAAAGAAAGAAAAAGAAATAATATCAAAGTCGAGACGTGCATCCCTCCGCGCGTTTTAAAAATAGATCTCGCGATGGAAGTTATATATTTTTAGCGTGTTTCAGATCGCGTACAATGTTCTGCGCGCGGTACGAACAGTTCGTCTTCTTCGAAATCGCATACTGTCCCTGTCTTCTTCCATGGAAACACATTTCTCTGCAACAAAAGAAAAACAAAACGGATGCTTAGACGGGGCCAGAGTCCTTTATTCTTACGTATCTAGATTGTGTAGCATTCGAGGTGAGAGACTATTCATGTGTTTATATATAGAAAGATAAAAAGAAAGAAAGAAAGAAAAGAAAGAAAGAAAAAAAAGAGTGATTTACGTTCGAGTTTGTGACGCGCGGGCGTCACACGCGTCCCACGGTTTTTTTTTTTTGGTAGAATAATTCGACACGCGCGGTCGTCATTAGCGACCATAAATTCACACGGGCGAGAAGCAGGTTCGACACACCGGTGTGCAACACCTCGTCTCGCTGAAAAGGAAACTTGAAATAAAATGGTGACAAGACGACAATGCAAATTCTTACAGGCGTACACATTGATCTATCAACGATATATGCGCTCGTTATCATTGATTAGTTGATAAGGACACACGACTTACTCACACACAGCTTCGATTTTAAATAAAGCGAGGAAAAACGAACTTGCGTGTGTGTTATTGAATGAAAAAAATGTAATAATGCCTCGTCGACGCGAGAAAATTGATATGATTAAGTATCATTTTTGTTGAAGTTATCTTATAATTTGTGGCGACAAGCGTAACGACGATTTCAAAGTTATATCGTAATTCCTGGTCCCCCCCCCCTGTTTTTCCTTTTTTCTTTCTGCGTAGTGTGACACGTTAACGCCGCAGCAAACACGTGAGCATCACGCGTTCGCGGGGGCATAATACGCGCGCACGTAAACGCAAATTGTGCATGTACTTTCAAACAAACGTCAAGTCGTACGTTTCCGTAGTTCTCTCGCGGACGTAATTATTGTATGTACAGTAAGGGAGAAAAGTGCGCGTACAGTCTGGAACGTGCAAGCATCGTCACATTCACGTTTTGTTTACTTCCCCCACCTTCACCGTACAAACACACTTCTGTCCCTTACTCTCTGCGCGTGCAATGAATGACACGCGTATACGTGGGATGATCATTCTGTCTCACTCGTTCAGCGTGTGAGATATTGTCCTATTTTTTCTCTTTGTTTTTGTTATCCAGAACGATCTTTGTTTTAAAAATGACAAGAAAGCGTTATCTTCCATGTACCACAATTATATTTCGAGTAACAATGTACACTTTCATTTCTGGACGTCTCTAATGTCCCTTTACACATGATGCAGGAAAGACATCACACACGCCCCACGATGGAAGAAGGCATAATCGTGGCGCCCCAAACGTACTTGCGTCCCTTTCTCTATTGCGGTCACGTGTTGCGGTTGTGTGTCTTAATTCGGGAATGTCCGTTGGAACATACAACTCAAAATGTAATTCTTTTATAGGAAATGCCGTTATATCTCGAATAATACGGAAAAAGAGCACATGAACCAAAGAAAACGCATGAGATAAGATTCCTTACCTAAAACACGCAGCCGGCTTGTTATTTATGGCATCAACACGTTTTCAGGCGCAGACTTCCGGTTAGTATACAAATTTATATACATATATATATATATATATATATATATACATATACATGTATATGTATATATGGGTTAGGTCGTGGGTAATACTACTCAATCCGAAGCTAAAAAATCAATTTTTAGACTGAGGCACTGAATAAGATAAATTTGGTTAGGAATTATTAGATTCAATAAGATTGAATGTATATGTATGTATAAACACCGTGATGTATCTTGGTTCCGTACTATTTCCATATTCCATGGAAATGAGACCGAAAATTTCAGTGGATACTCGCGTGGCAATCAATGTGTTACAACAGAGGAATGCAGCGTAACTCGGTTGGCGTTCCTAGTCTCTTCTTCTACAGTTTTTTTTACACGTATATATATATGTGTGTGTGTGTGTGTGTGTGTAAGTTTGTGTATGGTGTATACATTACCGTGGAAACGTTGAACACGGTTCACGTTCCCCCGTTATCTATAGCGAGAAACGCGTTTAAATGGAAACACCATAAAACAGCTATAGGAGCTGTAAATTTGCAGGACTATACACAATAGCGTGTTGTGTATACACAGATGTACGCGCGTGGTTTATCTGAGCGTCCCTCGCGGAAAAGAGAGACTGTTACATGCATATCAATCATTGTCACATCCATTTATTAAATTCTAGTAATGATGTATATATTAGTACTCACCGAAAAACGATCTTCACAAAATATTACGACAGTAACACTTTATTTACAGATATCCTCACGGGAACGTGAGAACGCACGTGGAAAAAAAAATATACACAAACGTCTTGTATTTTTGTAACACAACATCCGGCGTTACAAAGTTACATGAAAAAATTGGACGATCAAGGCCACAAATCACAGATAAGATTAAATTTTGTCAAAACTGATTTAAATCAATGCATCAAAGTGTATTTTTTACTTTTGTTATTTTCTTCAAACAATCGAGAACAATTTAGTTTTACACGTTCGAAAATAAACACACAGAGACGAGTATTAATACATGATATTGCATTAATTCAAATAAATGAAATATTGTTAAATAAACAATTGATGAAAATACGATTCCCTAGCTGTAATTCCTTTTTACTGATTAGAAATTCAATGTTTTATCAGGAAAATAAAGTCATATTGATCAAGTTATTAAGGCAACAGAAAACAAACATACCTGTATCCATATTCGCGTAGAAGCACTCCAAGGATGGGTGGGAGGAATATTGAGCCTAATGCGCTACCAGATATGCAGAGACCATTTGCAAGTCCACGTAACCGTACAAAGTAAGAAGTTACAATGTACACAGTTGGAGGGAAAGCCAATCCTGCTCCTATTCCTACCAGGACTCCATAACTAAATGCAAAACAACACATATGTTCATATATTGCTACTCGAACATCGATAATACTAGATTTTGTCATCTTTTAATATTAGAATTTTCAATTTTGTCTTGTTTTATATAATTACCTAATGCATAAAAAGGCCACAGAATCCGCAAAGTAGCTTAACATCATTCCTACAGCTGCAAATGTACCTCCAATAAGTGTTACTGTTCGATAGGAGTATTTAACTGATAATACACTAGAAAGTGGTCCTACAACAAATATTATATACAATTGAGCTTTTAGCTTCAGATTTGAAAAGTGTCAGAATATTTTAGAAGAAATAATTACCAAGTGAACTATATAGAAAATAACACAAAGCTGGTATCCAAGCAGCTGCAGCAGGTGACGCGTCAAAAACTTCAAGAAATTCAACAAACAATACACCAAAAGATTTCACTGTTCCTGGAATGAGGAGATTGACCATGACGGATGCTAAAAGTACAAGCCATCCCCACCCTCCATCTGGTGGGACTAAGTCTTCCTGAGCTGTTACATGTTTAACTGAAACACAAAATTGTTTGCCTCGCTTTCAAGTTTATTCGCTATAAAACCCTTGAATTGTGTTTCATACTATTTATAACTTTTGCGTACAATATAAATGTCACAGATAAGTACAGAAACTTGTTTATATTCAAGAATATCAGAAAGATGACACAGAAGTAGCCTTTCACCGCAAAAATAAATTCTATTTTAAACATTATATAAATAAATAAATTAAAAAAAGAAAAACACTAGTCGAGTGTCTTTTGTCAGTGAAAATTTTGAGATACAAAAGAGACAGCTCACCTTGTTTGTTGGTCCCATTCAAGTTACTATTCTTCTCTTTTTCCGTATGCTGTGACACGAGCGTATAGTCACCCTTCTTGCCTTGGCTCGAGCCGAATTTGATGTTGATCCCATTGTCTTGATCTTGGACTCGTTGCATTGTCATCGACCTTTTCTTTCCCGCTCACAGTGACGCGCTCGCGATCACACGCATGTACACACGCCTGCGTGCGCGTGTGGTATGTACAAAGGAAAAGCGAAACCAATCCCCGGCGCTGTTACAAAGAAAGAAAATCTAACGCGCGATCGCCGTACAAAGTCATCCGAACGTAATAAATGTAAACCGAGAGCACAGGTCGAAATCGAAAACAGGGAGTAGACGAGGGAAACGGTAGGGGTGTGGAAACGAAATACAACGACGAGACGGAGAGCAGCAGATGTACGCAGAGACGGGATTACAAACACAGAATAAATATATTCCACACGACGACTCACGGGTGGATAACAAACACAAAAAACAGTATCAATGTTCACAGACTGCTGGATCGGCAGTCGTGTCCTCCTCCCCGATTGCCTCGGACTTCATCAATTCCAGCCTGATGCTGGTCGCGCGGTGACTCGTGTTGGTGCTCCTCTGATGAAGCGTACCCCGTCTCGGTCCGGTCATAGACCTTTCTCGCGTTAACGATTTCCTTCGAAACCGACGAATAGAATAATTCCAATGGAACGGACTCGACGCCACGGCCGACGATCCGCAATGCGTCGACGACGGTGCGAGCTGTGCCACAACTGGGCTAACACTTCCGCTCGTACCTCTTGGTTCTGATGCTGCGTTAAATCGCATAGAGCACGTAAACAATCGCATGTATACGGGATATTCTTTCTCAGACACGGTTCACTGTCATCCCTGTCGCAGCTCGAGAAACGATATCCCACACACCACACCACCAGACGCACCCGCGCAACCAAACAGTGAATAGCTCCTTCGCCGCGGAACGACCGATCAGCTGTGTATCACGCAGGGGCCGCTGCTGCCACTACTTCATCCTGTCTCCCACCCGTCGTTCCTCGTCCTCCCGTTTCCACTCTTCCCTCCGGCCAGTTCCACGATTCCCCCCACCCCATTTCCAACGATACATTCTATAGGGAGGGACGAAAGTAATCGCATGGAAAAATCTCGGGTGGAGCATATTTGGACGGAGATTTTGGTACGGGATTACATTATAGGCAATTGTAATGATAGCAAACGATTATATCAGTAAACTGATTTTTCAATAAAAGTCCACGAGGATTAAACCGATGATACTTATTAGACTGTGAATGTTTATGGAAACTATAAAATTTCACGGATTCAATTTACAGGCACTACCCAGATAGTACATGACACCTTAAAGACGTCTATTTTACGGCTATTTTAGGTGTAAGGCGCCTTTAAGGCATCTTCATGGCGTCATATGCTATCTGGGTAGAGTAAGAACCTTCGTTTATATTATTAACGATTCTATCGGGTTCGAAATAAAAGAAAGTTACCATTGAATCTGGTTAAATATTCTTACTGTGCTGGGCTTTAACGGCCGAATGATATTGTCCCCGTTCGATGCGTGTCGTACAGATAAAATTTAACGGAACACTATTCATATCAATCAATCGAATTTCTACAAGAGCGTCAGTGCCCCGTGGCAACACGACTCATTGAGAGACATCGTACACCGGGCCTGCATAGAAGGACAGAGAAACAGAGCCGTTGAACAAGGGAATGGAAAATTTACAGCGGTCGCAAGTCGCAAGAACAGTCAGGGGCAAATGGTGTAGGATTTTGTCCTCTCGGAACGTCCCGCGCACAAATTTAACGTTTTGTCACGGCGGCGCCGATGCCTTCGTCCCATTTTTAGGTGTACATATAGAGAAGTCGAGGTGCGAAAAACAAATGTCGAACGTGATATGGTCCAGATTCGTGCCCGATACTGAATGCCAATCGTGAAAAATGTCTAATTACTTCGAGAGAAATCCGGCATACCGACTTATCGCGAAAAGGTAAATTCCAAACGACTCATCGGTGAGTTTACCTCTCGGAACACCATTATCTGGCGATCCTTTTCGGAACGGTTTCCATCAACTGTATTCGGCTCGGTCGTATATAACGAGCCACTGGTTGTAAAAATTTAAAATAACCTTAACTGTTGAAAAAAAATGCAGTCACTTAGGTAACGGTACTTAAGGAAGAAACATTGATTTTCTCAGTCTTTCTAATGCGATTTGAACTATAAAAATAGAAAACAGAACTGGTAACTATTCTGGCAGAGTCAATATCCTCTTCTTACCATCGCGTACTATGTTCTCAAGTCAACATAACCCGAAAAGAAAATTGAATATTTTTAGTATATCTATGTCTGTTAGGTAAGCTTTTAGATAAATTTTATCCCACTGTTTTTTTTTTATATGATGTAATGTAGCTACCGATTAACGTATTTCTCGAATTCAATTTAACGCGTAGAAATATCCACATGAGTTATTGGACGAACAAAGAAAATTTTTATCGAACGAAAGAGAGTTACGATACTATTTATTTTGGGTCATTGTGGAAGATATAATAATGAATGACGGGTGTACAGTTAGTTGAACCATAAGACGATTTACGTGTTTTGTGAAGCAAATGATTATCAACGGAGGCTTATGTAAACAATTTTCACGCAGTTACTGGTTGGTTACGTAGCAAGACGAGATTCTATCGTTTCGGTCATATCGCGGATTGCTGGCGCGCTGTGTTTGTCAGAGAAGCCATTGTGCGTGCATTTGACGATGACTGTTCAGGGAATTAGAACAAAATGTTTGTAAATGGCGCGTGAACAACACGTGCCCGGCTGGACGCTAACCAGACAACAGTTGCACAGAACTGATATATTTATAACACGAACGGATTGTGAAAATATTTTCGAAATATTATTTCGTAGATTATTACATTAGATTTCCCATGTGTATACAAAATATCAGTCTGAGAATTTAACCCTTGTCATCTGGACTGGAATGATTTAAAAGTAAATCTCAAGAACATATATGCCGTCGAGCAAATATTTCGAAATGAAACCAGATGATCCACTTTTTTATTCTCAAGTGCCCGTTATCACTTTTATTACATAGAACGTATGCGTGACTTTGTGTCGATAATATCGATATACAGTGAGAGTCAAAAGTAATATAAAAGAGTATATACACCTTGAATGCACAGAAGTTTATGCAACGATTCCTGCACTTATGTTGCAGAAATTGGAAATTAATATGAAAGACAGAAAGTATGTAGGAACATAAATTAACGGTAGAATACATAATCATATCTGATACATCAAATGTTATTATACGATGCAAAACAGTCTAAAGTAGTAATTACATACATACATTTAATACCTTATCGATCCACTTTTAGCTTTAATTACGACAGCTAATCGTCTTGGCATGCGTGTAACCGAATTTCGTGTTGCACTAACGGAAGTATCGTTCCATGCTTTCTAATATTTCCCACAGATAACTGCGGAGGAGGATTTGACTGATTCGCTTTGCTGTATGTTTTGTGTCACGATCTTGCTGAAAAAACCGATGAGTCTGGCAATCATACTTTCGTTACACTTGCAATACAATTTGATTTTAAAGCATCGAAATATCCAAATTTGTCCATAGTATTACCCAGCGGTGGATCAAGGGGTGGTTTAGGGAGGGGGGGCTGTAGTTCGGGGCCTCACGTTCCAGGGAGGCCCCGTTCTAAATTTTCTATTTCGTTATGATTAAATGTTATTTAATTTTATTTGAAATAAATTTCAATCATTGAAAATTTATGTATTTGATAGCCCTAGGCCACAAAAAATCTTAATCCGGGCCTGGTACTATCGATAAAGGCCTATTGTCCTACACCAGTGACAATCATGCTGCCCCAGACCATGAATAATATATACATTCACTATTTTTAACAGTATTTACAACATAGTTATGATTATAGTGCCGAATTTAATTTTCTCCAAAATTTTTGGCTAATTTTATACGACAAAATGCCAGAAACATCGTTATTCAGTTGTATGATTACCTTGATCTTGGTGGTATGATGCAGAAAATATTACACGAACTTCGCTTTTGCAAGATGCATACTCAGTTTTGATTCTCACTGTATTTATGTCCGTTCTACGCGGGAGAATGGATATCTACACTGATTCTATAGAATTACGATAAGCGAACATGCAGCATTTCCAATATACACGAAAACATACTCTACGATTCCCCTTACATAATTATATTATATAATTGCGAATTTTGATAGCACGGCCAAATAAGACGGAAATATCCCGTGTGTGTTCGTGTGTATGTACAAACACGGATTTCGAACTGTTCAGTCGACGAAACTATTCATAAACCAGGAAAGAAAGAATGACTAATACGGTACTATCTGACCACCGATAAGAGCAGCTACGATGATGCGTTTCTCGGTCGTAAGGCACGAAAACCCGGCGGTCAATGTAAATTACGAATTAAACGAGCTAATTGTTCCGCATCGCAAATTAACTTGAAACGGGCAATTGACAGCGGCAACTGCACATGACTCAGTTTATATTCGTTCTTATTAAGCATCAATTGGTGTTGTGATGATAGTTACAAGAGGGATGCTCCTCCGGGTAAACACCGATCCGGCTCACTCTTGAAATATGACGCAGTGCATCCATTGCAACAAATAGAGTTTAATTTTTTTGTCGGTTTTTTTTTTCATGTCGATATTATTCTGTAAATTGGTGCATAGAAATTGGTATTCGTACAAAGATCCAGAGTCTGATAATAAGTGACAGGTACATAAATATGGAAAAATGTTCTCGTTACTTGTAATTTTTATGTAAGTGATAGTTACACTACAGGTGTTCATGCAAATCCTCGTTTTTATAGGCGACCTCGCGAAAGAATGTACGAGACATTTATTTCGACAGTACCGAAATTTGTCAAGTTACAATTACAACAATTATATATCACACTTGTATATTCTGTAAATGCATAAGGTAGTGGTCTCTAATAACTTGAAAATGCTATGCACCTTTTTGAAGTAATTGTATATGAATACATTTGTACGACAAATTAAAAAAAGAAATATGTTCGAACTTAACACTACCTTCGGGCGTATATATATGTTAAAAGAAGCATCCTTGTGTTGCTAGTGTTGATCGTCTGAATTAAAGTCTTATTCTTGGAAACGGGTAATGTAATTCTACCGTATGGATAAAGATCCAGGAATGCGAGTAAATATTTGATGAGACTATTGCGGCTATGAGGAAATTGCAATGCCTCTGTGCTATTGCACTTTTTATTGTGCATTGATTATAGAGTGTGCAGAGAGAGATTTATTATTCTCTGTAGATTGAATGAGTCGAGAGAATGCACTGAATCATTCTAAAATCACAATTCCGGAATTTATGTATGAAACCGATGTACTTTTACTTTTACTTTCGTAGAATTATTATTTTACGTAATATTTCATTTTACTGATAATCTTTAAGAGAAAGATGTTTATAGATACGAAGTACCGCCCCTTCTCAGTGACGTCACTACGTTGCCTATCATGACTAATGGCGTCAGAGGCGCGCACGAAGCAACGAAGTATTTCGAATTTCAATAAATTCGAAATACTTCGATAATTATCGAACTGATAATAATACATAGAATTGAACTAAATCGAGTTATGATTATTGGAGATATGATGAGTATAGTATTAATATGTAAATAAGTACTTTACAGTAAGTAATTTTTTAACTAAATATATTTATTTGGATCCATAAAAGAAAGTATAGCACAGCTGAATATTCCTAAATGGAACTATAAATATGTATTGACATGTTGTTTTTTAAATTCTAATCACAGTTTATAATTTGCGAAGATTCTAACATTTATCAATACATATAGCAGGTGCTACTACAAGATAATAACAGTAGCCACAAGTAATATGTTACATAGTTCTACTGAGTATATTAACTGAGATACGTCAGAATCAAGCTTTTATTGAAGTATTATCATTGCTTTCATTCTCTTTTGATTGTGTCTGCTGCTTTATACGATAATCTGACAATGCAGCCTTAATTGCATCTTCTGCAAGCACTATAATATATAAAAGAAAGAAGTTAAGTTCAATTCTAACTGTACTGTTAATTTATTGCCAAATTCTCAACGGAATATATATATTGTTTTCAATATAGTTCCGAAACTGTTAATAAAAAATTATTACAGGAACGCAGGTAATAAATAATTACTGAAAAATTCTTCCAAGCAATTTTCAATATTTCACAGACAAATAAATGATAGATGCCACTTACTTGAACAGTGCAGCTTGACAGGTGGTAGGCACAACTCTTTAGCAATGTCAGTGTTTTTTAACTTTAGGGCTTCATCAACCTATAATACGAACCAATTAATTATTCATTCTTTAGTAAGTAAATTTATAAATGTATAAAAATACTTACAGTTTTTCCTTTAACCCATTCTGTAGCTAATGAACTAGAAGCAATAGCAGAACCACAGCCAAAAGTTTTGAATTTAGCATCGACGATCTTTCCATTCTCATCGACTTTAATCTGAAGTTTCATTACATCTCCACAAGCTGGTGCACCTACCAATCCTGTACCAACTTGTGAATCATTCTTATCCAAGGAGCCCACATTCCTTGGATTCTCATAGTGATCTAATACCTATAAGGTCAAAATGATCATATTTAAACTATAGATTCTATACTCTTATTTTACTTTTAGTTATGCAATAAAACAAAATCCTTATCAGGAATAAACGAAAGTTTGCATAAACAATAATAGTCTATTTATAAAAACTATATACTAAGTTTAAATAAAAAGACCACCTGGACATTTGAAATATAAAAAAAAAAGTTAAATCACTATGAGGATTACATCATTCGCCAATTTATACTCAGTGAATTTACCAGTCATTACTTTAATATTACTACATCATTCGTAATATAACTGTATCAAGTAGCAAATGTTTGCATATAAACATATATGCGTATTAATAAATTCTAGGGAAGACAATTTACGCATTAAAGTCAAGGCAAAACATCAACATAACCTAATACTCTCACAAAATAAACCGGAAATGTTTCATTGTGTTTTTAAAACGTTTAAGCTTAAAATTAGAATAGTATGAAGGTCATGCGTGAAGGTTGGATTTCCCATATATACAGTATAATAATAGTTGCATTTACACAGTATTGATTGCAAACAATAACGCAATGCATTCGTTACGTTAGGTTATGAATGATGCCGCAAATAAAAGTAAGTACTCACATTCGGATGATAAAAAACAGCTGGAACGCTTTGAGACACTAATTTGGAAGTTTTCTTAAGGGTAGGCAAGGAGCGTAGTAACGACATCGTGTTTATGTTTGCATACACTAACGGAAAACACTACTCGTCACTTTGCACAATACTCCACTGACACAATCAATTTTATCCTGATGTATACAGTCATTTATGTTGGTACTATACGCCATTGGTAACCCTGCTCGTACATGACAATTCTGTGGTACTTCAAGAGTATCAACTATTTCAAAACAATCAAGATACTGTTGTACTAATGTACGTTACTACGTACTTTTATGAAACGTACTTATAGTTAAGATATAAATACGCCAGGACTTGGTTTTCTATGTACAATATTATCAAGCAAGTAATATCGAGACAGTAATTTGGGTTAGATCGTTTTGTATAAGCCTAAGGATCACATGGAAGCCGAAGGAAAAGAAAAAAACATTTAACTTGCATCAAATAGGAATTTATACGTATAGTAAGTTCTTTTTTCGAGAAGTACTTGTTTTAATCGAAACAACAGCAATTCGTTGTGCGAATCATAGAAAACATTACCAATTACTTGAACATTGTCGTGCTTGAAGTAAGACCATTCGAAATGACATTTCAAACGTGAAACTGTTCAGCATAAGATTGTAATCTATTATATAATTCAAATGCATTCGAGATCCTGTTCAAATAAGCATGAAATTCTCCGATAGGGATGAAATATCATCGGAACGTCGTTACGTAATCGCAAATTACATCGTAAAAACAATTTAGAAAACGCTACCCTTTCGTAATCTGCGTCAATAAACGTTTTGTAACCGTCACACGAAATATTCAAATTGCATAACACGTACAGTCAGTGAGAAACCTTGATTTACTTTTTCTACGACGATCTGTTTTATCGCTTTCTACCATTCAATATAATAACTGGCATGCAAAAATATTTCAATTATCGTTTCATATTGTCATGTGGCCGTTGATCCACCATGTCCATACACGTACGATTTTATCACTAATCGGTTACGTATAATTCACAGTGTCGAGATGTCGCAGAAGAGGCCAAACTTACACCGTTCATTACATGTGTGTCGACGGTAGAAAAAGATTGCGGAAAAGGAAATCGGACGAGATCAATGTTACCGCTGGATGGACGCAAGAATGGGTATCCCCGAACGAACTTACAAACGAGACCCGTCTCGATATACGGGAGGTGGTATGCGGTCCATTCTCCTCGCCGAAATTATTACGAACACAGCCTTGCATCGAGGCCTCGTCTCTTCAGAGGAAAGAAAACATTCGGTGCTTGAGACGAGGCATTCCCGACACTTGGCGCGAATACGTAGCCTCCAGTGGATACTGTGGTGCAACAGAGGCACGTGTTCTGCAAAAGAATTTAATACCCTGTTGCGTCAGATCGCTCGCCACTGACCGACTCTGGAACGATCTGGGTTTACCCTTCCTACAGGGCATACCTGATCCATGGAAAAGTAGGTCTAGTCCGCCACAAGCCGTCAGACAGCTGCGACGACGGTGCAACAAAATTGTCCCTACAGGTGGTACGTGTAGTTATGACGGAGGCGATGAGCTGGAAACAGAACCCGTTGTAAAGAGATACGATCGATACATGAAAGACCACGCGAACGACAAAGAAGGCACCGCTCGAGGGAGGCAAGACGAATCGAACTTGCCATCGGAGAAGAAAAATGCTCGGAATGCTACTGACCAATTAGAGCCGTCCGAAGATATGAAATCATCGTCACGTTACAAGAGAGTTACACAGAAAGTTAAGAACGTTGATGTTGCAGCAAAGGAAACGAAAGGAAAAACAGTATCTGTAAAAGAGAAACCGTTAATATACAATCGAAAGAAGCAGTTGAACAAGATATTGAACGAATCAAACGTTAAAGCGACCGTTACGCAATATATCCCACCGGATTCGCTAGAAACAACAAAGGGGATCGTACAATCAGTTGAAACTCAAACGGTCCCTAACATTGTCTATTATGGTTGCATGCTACAGGATTATGTTGGTCCAAATATTCTGTGTTTGTCCAATCACATAGATCTACTTAACCAGTCGAATGTATCCCAGCGTGTACTTTGTAAAGATTGCGAGAACATTTATCGCGGAGAGGGTTTCCGAAGACAGGATGTTTCTGCCGTGGACGGTCATGTACCAAATAGGAAAGGTATCTTCAACAGGCATAAAATCGTCAAGCGTGAAGATATGTACAAACGGGCGAAACTCAAGCTCTGTTATTGTCTTCGAAAAACGAAGTGTCAGCTCGAAGCCTTGAGAAGTCCTAAACGCGTCGAAACAAGAAACGCGACCAATAAGATGGACTTAAACCTGATATGCTGCCGCTGCGACTGTCCTTATCTGAAAATCACATCTCCCGCTCCGATTGATCGAAACGAAAATGTCAGCAACCGTGGAAGATCTAGCAGAAGGCAGCAAGATCAAAATATAGGGCCTCGGGAACGCAGGCGTATATCAAAATGCACTATGACGCAGAAACAACGGCGTAACCACGTTGATTCTACGAACCACTGTGGCACGTGTACAGAAAACAAAATATTCGTATCTAAGACTGACCCTGAGCAAGTGTTACATTCGACGACGGTTAAGCAGCCAAACGATGCGTTAAATAAAAACGTTAATGAAAAGCCAAAGACGATTATTGTCGACAGTAACGCGACGGGACGTACAGTTTTAGACGAGAAATTTAACGAAGGAATTGGGAATAGCATTCAAAATATTCAAATGGCTCCTGATATTGACACGATGAATGTAAAAGCGATATATACGCACAAAACGAGAAAACTGAAAAAGAATTGTGTACAAGGTAGAACGAGACATAGACGGTGTCCTAAGTCCATAACTAGTGGTACCTACAACCATAAGTGAGGATGACTGTACATGGAAAAAAATAAGTTTCAATGTTTTCTTGATTTACTTCGGTTTGAAGTAAATCGAATTTGGAAATTCGACAACGCAAACGTTTTCATATGCGATTGGAATAATGTTAATTACTATTTCCGTTTGTAGAGGGATACATTGAGCATGATTTGTCGAGGTTTAATTTATACCGAATTATTTGATAAAACGAATAATCTCGTATCACAGACAATGACTATAATTATGCTTATTACGATAAAAAAAAAAGATCAGTAATAAGCAAATATTTATGCCAAATGTATTCAAATAAACAGGATTAATTTTCAAGACTGATTTACCTAGAAACGAAGCCTTACATCGACAAATGTTCTTATACACTTCTTACTTTTTTTTCCGAGGTAGCATGATTGTTCCGAATGAATCACCAATTACGGGACACCCTGTATATATAATACTAGAAAAAGAGGTAAGGAATGAGAAGACAGATGTGCGGTGGTTCGACCATCAATGACGAAGAAATCAAAGAAACCGTGGTAAGGCTATCAGAATGCTGAAGATGTGATAAGGACATAATGAAGTATATACGCATCTGATAGTGGCGAGTAGGCAGCGTATCCGATAACTCTGTAGATGGTAATATTGGTGTCACGGCTCGAAAGAGGTTCGCTGTGAATCCGATTACACTTTGATACATCGGCTGAATAATACGGTTCCGATAAAGAAAGCGTGTATCGGGCAAGGAAGCCGAGGAGACATCGTCATCTTTGTAAACAGTCGGTTGGGGATTCGAATGATCTCGAGTGGTTCTTAAAAATGGCGAATAAATAGTTGTACAGATTTTGACGAAGCGTTCGAATTCAAAGAAATCACGATGGGTTATCAGATCGAAAGTTTTCCACAGGGAAAACGTAATTATTTCTACTTACTGGCCTGGATTCGAATGCACACAAACGCCGGCTGAAAAAGAATCTTCGAATAACGTTGAATACTGACGGGGAGGATACTCATGAACTGGATCAGTGTTGCAAACTGATATGGGTGAAATCTGTACGGAAAAGAAATTTTCAGCTCGATCATGACAAAATTGATATAAATAAATTGATTTGCATGAATTAACGTAACTATAAACACTTAAATTATACTTATAGATTATAGAGCAACAGGATGTTTCTACAGCTTATTTGTTTGTGAAGTGGAGATTCCAAAGATGACAGGTTATTTTTTAGAGAGGGGACTCAGTACTTATCATGAAAAATACTTGTAACGTCGCGGAAGAGATTAACACGAATGATTGTCATACAAGTAAAACGAGTAATGTTACTTTTAATAATTTCATGTTTAAATTAACATAGTAGAAATAATGAAAAGGGACTAAAAGAACTTTGGCCTGCAAAAAAAACTTTGGAGAGCAAGGCACACCTCAGAGACAGCACTATCAACAAATCTTAATCTAATAATAAGTCTTGTTGTAACAAAATTTTAGATTACATTACAACGTAAAAGATTAAAGAAGTGTCTGAAGGACAATGACATACATCTTAAGAACAACATATAATGATACAATTTCTTATAAACTAAAGAAATAAGTGTACATAAAAAATATACTTGATAATAATAAATATCAAATGTGGTATGATTAAGATGAAGTTAAAGTATTAAAAATCATTTTGATTCTGTCAATACTCAAATAATTAATTATTATCATATTATTGAGATAAGAAAATACACTAATTAACCGTTATCAGGTACTTCAAAAACTGGAGTGACTGGAGTGGAAGTAAATGAAAACACCTCACGCGAGAGAAACAACTAAAGTTCCGTGATTGGTCCATTCTTCTAATTGCCTTTCACCGCCATCTGTCAATTGCAGTACGAATTATTTTCTATTGTGCTTCTTTTTGTTCATTACGACTGTCATTACCTATTAGCGTGATGCTAAGGGAAGCAAAACGTATTTAACGTTACAGTGAAGGACTCTTAAAATGCATTTTCACCGATACAAAAGTTATTTTCGTGCTGTGATGTCATTATTTTGTGATATGGTTTAACGATATAGTTTCCTAGTCGTATTTTTTAATTGTAAATAACTGTACCTTTATTAAATATTTTTTTGTAATATGGCAAAGACTAAAACGATCAGTAAAGGCTGCCCCAAATGTGAACAGCAGGTAAACTTTTGGTTTATTCGTACATATACAGTAATCAAATCTCAGTATTTTGCAATTTTATTATAATTATGTTGAATTTATACAAATTGTATTGTAAACATAAAGAAACGTAATGTGATATTTTTTTATGGTATTAAATTATTTAATAAATGTAGGAATCCATTTTGTAAAATGAAAATATGATGTTTCCATTTTAATACACTTTTTAGGCTACTTACAATAAGTAATCAATTTTATTTTTATGCGATAGTTGTGAATACCTTAAAATACTTGCTGTATATTAATTTTTTAATTTATTTACGAAGGTACCCGTTGCCTGCAAAGCATGTCCATGCGGTCATTCATTTTTTAATGCAAGACGCAATTCTATTAAGAGTCCTCCTAGTCCTGATAGCGGAGTAATGAAAACAAGACGAACTAATCGAATCAAAAGAGAGAAGCCAAATTATTACGATGCTTTAGAATATGACAAACAATCAAAGAAGAGTGCTAAAGTGAGCCATTGTATCATATGATTTGTAAGTATACATGGAACTAGTTAAAATTTATGAGAAAACTATCTTTGCTTCAGATAAGGAAAGCAACAGATGCAGCTAGTGACATTGACTGTCGACAATTAAATAAGAAGAAGAAACGAAAAGGAAAAGGTAAAGGAAAAAATGGAAGTAGTAATGGATTAGGAGATGACGATGATGAAATGGAAGGAATCAATGGTTTGTCACCAGAGAAACAACTCACATGTTCTTTGATATTGCAAGAATTGAATAACAAGATGAGAGTGGTAGCTTGGAAGCCAACATGATTCTTTTTTACTTATCAATGTGTCCCTTATCATCAGATTCACTAGCATCTGTTACCAGTAGACTCTGATGTAATCATTTTATACAGGTATTGAAATGTGTTTTACAATACAGTCTATAAATTGCATTGCAAAGCATTAAAATAGTATTAGATAATTTTGTGCATAGATTAGTAGTATCAATTTATGCAAATTACATATAATTTTTTTCATAGGTAAAATAATAAACGTGATAGACTGTTCTTAATTGTAAAAAATTATACGTATATACGTTGTGATAAATTCTTTTTACTTTAGTTTTTGGTAAGACAGAACTTTGTTAGATATTTTGAACATACGTTTTATATATTAATTCATCTTCCAAGTATTGAAAGAGACGAGACAATATAAGTGAAAAGAATATAACTTTTATTAAAGATCACTGTGTTTAAATTACATCTGTTTTTGTATGAAAAATATGTATTTCCTACTAAGATTGTTTCTTTCATCGCAGAACCTGCCGCAATTCTTCGTTTTCTACAAATAATTATAATGTAACATGTAAATATGGTGTACAAGATTTTTGTTCTATGGTCAAGTAATTTTTACTTAAGAACAATTGTAAATGAGGAAGGTTCGTTTACTAATAAAAACTAGAAGGCGTGCATTTATAAAAAAAACTTAATGAAAATCACCCTTACCTGTCGCGAACGAGGTATTTATCATAAATCTTTTTTGTTTTCTTTCGTACGCATATAACTGAACCAAGCAATATATCATAGTGGATTAATTGTAGCGACAAATGTTGCGAGTTTTTTTTATTAGTTCTCTATTACACATTCGTTCGGTTTTTTTTTCGTTTGTTTTTTTTTTTGTTTTTCGTTAGTTTTAATCACATTTTGCAAAATATCTTTATTCTTTCACAGTCGTCTCTCCTTGCGTATTACCGTTCTCGGCATTAACGGTCATCTTCGATGATTTCGATACTTCGTTAAAAACCAGGAGCATAGGTACACCTCCCATCACCATGCACGTTCCCATGCAGAGAAAACATACGGTGTAACTTCCAGTTACATCGCGCAGGTAACCTGGAATTAGTTTGTTACAGATACATAACAACAGTGATATTATTCTCCGCGTACAGACACTCAAACGGATACCTCGGCTGACTACCGTGCAGAAATCGAGCACCTTCGAACTGAACGATTGCAACGTTAATCTCTTCGAAGCATCTTAACATTCCATTTAAAGATTTTATTTGCTAAATTACCTGTTAAAGGCGGAATAGAAATAGCCCCGACACTTTGGAACATCCTGACGAGACCGTAGGTGGAGGAGATTTTGTCGGTTCCGTATTGGTCTGCAAGAAGGACGGGAACTAAGAGAAACCAACAACCCAGGCAAAGTCCGTACATCCCGACGGAGCACGCCAGTACATAGAAAGAATGGGCCATTGGGATCGCCAACACAGCTACACCGGCACCCACGATGCTGTTGAACAGCAACAAGAAGAATATAAATATATAATAAATCATGGATGAGTATTCGAAGGCTCCACGGTACTAAACATGTAATATTTCATAACTTAATGGTCATATGCGGTTGAAACAAATATCACTAGCTTCCTTTAGATGTCACCGATGTAGACAAATTCACCCGTTGCTATAGAAGACGTACAAGTACCTTCCACAATGACCCAAAAGCGGGTATTGGATTGAAAGGGCTTGGGAACTATAGTTCCCAAACGGTCACCGAGTTTCGCCCATGTTGGGAACTACAGTTCCCACCGAGCGTGTTAAAGTGGTTAAGTACCTTCCGATGTACCCTTTCCGACGATCGAATAGCTGCAGATCCGAGAGCCATCCGAGCCCCAGTCGGCCGCAGAGGTCCAACGCCGCGGATATCGCGACCAGATAACCCGCCTCCGATTTCGTGTAGCCGGCCGCGTGTACGTACGCAGGCAGATAATAAAGCATGTACGGGCTACCGGTGGACATCAGGCTGACGGAGATGCACATCATGATGAACTGAGGATTCTTCAACAGGGACAAATCGATATACTGCATTATCCTCTGCATAATGGTCTTCGGTTCATCCTTGATCTGGGTGTCGATCTGCGGCGCTGGGGTGCACACCGCGGCGATCGAGGTGGATTTCAGGGATCTAAGCGACGATCGAGCTTTGTACACGCACGTCGAATCGGTCGACAGATCCTCGACGCTGTGCAATATACTGGAGCTTCGTATCTTCGAGATCGGTTTCATCCGAAGACCCTCGCCCATCACATCTTTCTCCTCCTCGCTGTCTGTTAGCTCGACCGCCACCGCGGCCACGCCATTTTGGTGGAACAGCTCGTTCAGCAGATTGTGCTTGGTGGTCGTGTCGTTCGCGAACAACAGATCGAGCTTCTGCTGTTTCGCAGCCTCCAGCTCTTTCGCGGTGGCGACCACCATCCTTTCGGCTGTCGCCGCGAGTTCCTGGCCCACGGGGGCGTAATTGTTCTCCAGGGGACGGTAGAGGGTCGCGCTGACACATACGTGGAGCATACAACCGCCCAATAGGAGGATCGTACCGTGAAAACCGAAACTCTCGACTAGCACCTCGATCAGAAGGGGAAAAACGAAGCTGCCAGCCGCTGTACCAGATACGCAGATACCGTTCGCCAGGGCGCGGTGCTTGTCGAAGTATTGGGAGACGAGGATGATGCCTGGCGTTGTCGACAGACCGCCACCGATACCTGAACTCGAAAAATATCAGAATAGAATGATTGTGTAAGGGGAGGGGAGAGGTAATGTCTACAGTAAATCCTCGATGAGTGTTCGAAGGTTCCTCGGCACTGACATGGAGAGGTCCCCAGGTGTGACGTTAATTTTTTAACGAGGTTTAGCACAGTGATTGGCATTCTGAAGCCGACGATATCTGTTTCAGCAGTATTTATGAAATACGTAATGTTCAGTGCCGAGGAGCCTTCGAACGTTCATCGAGGATTTACTGTATTCCACGTTCAGTTTAGGAAGTATTCGATGCTACTATGAATCACTTGAAACGATATTGTAGTCTGTCGTATAGTCTTCCGTGATTATTCTCTGCACGACAACCCGATCGAGAATTGATATTGATTATTCAGATTAGTATTAACGCGATGAAACTACTGTGTAAACCTTCGTGTATACAGTCACTGTATTCGTTGCGGATAGGTCACAGTTTTTTTTGTTCTTTTTTTTTTTTAAATCGGACAGCACGATAATTGGATGTTTTGCAAAACACCTTGGATCAACGGTATTGATCACCGTTCTAAATAATGCTATCCGAAACACGACAATGGCTTTTTCGTCATTCCAATGATTTTTAGAGGTATATATGGTACAAGCTGTATCACATTTTAATAAATTTAGGGAAAACCGATGCCACGCAGAAATAGTAAATTATTGTAAAGGTGTGTAAATGCCGTAAGCATTTTAAACAATTAATTACCTAGAATGTCACGTTCGATCATGTGTGTCGAATAATGTGCAACCCGTTTCGGTTACGTAATGCGCCTGGTCGAAAGTGCATATAATCTATGAGACTACGTGTATGTACAGGATAAATCGACGAGAGTTGTTACGAAACGTACAGGCTCGGGGTTAACCGAGAGGAAAATTCTAGTAAACTCTATAACCATGAATCACGAGCCCATGTATTGTCTAATAGGGTATTCCTATTACCCTCGAAGAACATGCAGAGATGGGCAAACTCATTATCTAGATAAAAAGTTTCGAATAACGAAAGAAAGATAAAAAAAAATTACTTGGCCATTTTTTTTTATTGATTAAACGTGGCAATTCCAATTTTTATAATAGAATGATACTTCTTCTTGAACGAGCAGACACGTGACAAACTGTTACTTAATCTCATTGACCGTTTAAAGGTCAAGACGTTCTTAGATGGTGCTGCATTTCACTATATATTATTCGAACGAAATTCTGCCCAACTCTGATGCACAGGGTACAAATCCGTCACGTAGACACACTGTAACATGTCTATAAATATTTAACGGCCATGCCCATATAGCACATGACGCCTTCAAGACGCCCATTTTACGGCTATTTTAGGTCTTACGCGTCTTTAACCCGTCATTAAACAGTCTGTGTGTTATCTGGGTTTCGGACGAACCTGTTAAAATTCCAAAAGTAAAAAATAGGTGTATCAAGCTCGTGGCAAAGTAGCTTGTGGTCAGTCCAAGTGCGCAGAATAATCCCCCGACGAAGACCACCGCCCGACAGCTGTATTTCTGGCAGAGCATGCTCGTCACAGGAGCTGCAATATCGAACAAAAACGGGGAGATTCAGTCTGTTGGCAAGAAAACAAACCGTATCCATATATCCTATACAGGGTGGACGTGATCAGCTTACCCACCCAGTCAGCCAAACCTGCAAAGCCAAATTTTGTCCAATGCCTGTTATCAAGTTATGGCTACAAGTTTGATGCAAGATTCGCTATAAACAACTTGCGCGCATATTGGCAGCAATATATGCAGCAAATTGGCTTGCGCAAACCTTATTCCGGTTGTGCCCTCAATTTGACATAGGTCATGCTGCAAGACTTTCAGTCAATTTGCTTTACCATTTTGTCACCTGGCGTTGCCTGCAAACACCCGAGTCAAATGCGAAAACAGATGGCTATGGTTTTTTAGACAACTTTCCTCATTTATTGCTGGCAATTTGCTCGAAACTTGTACAGAACTGGTTATCAGGGTTAGATTATGCGGCTGTTAAATGTTCGATCGAACATTTTTTTGCATGCTTGACACCATTTTAAAAATAGTTTTAATTAATGTAAACGATACTTTCTTAATGTTTCTTTGGTTTAGAAGAAGAAAAAGTGATTTGTTATGATGTTTGTCGAATTTGTCTCAGTATCCGCTAAAAGATGGGTGTAAACAAATTATAGGTATGTCTATAAAAAAACGGAATTTGATTTTGAAAACTCTGGAGAGAAAACGGTTGGCAAACAATTCAATTAGTTATACTAACTAAAAAATGTTTGATTGAACAGTTAGCAGTATATAATCTAAGCTGATCACGTTTGGGTCCACCCTGTATACAGTTACATACACGTTTCCTCTCCCACCTAGTAATGAATACTACAGCAATAATGATTCCTGTGTCCTACCTAAAAACTTGTTCAAATCAATCGTAACATGTATACAGCACTTAGCCCCTACTCGATCCACTCTACAGTATGAGGACACTTATCGAATATGCAGTAAATATATTATCAGACAATCACGAAATTGCTGAAAGTCTGAAATAAATATTGTTCAGGGGATATTGAAGCTCGATGGACAAGGCGTATGCTATTATGAAGTACTACAAATGTAGCCTAAAATATACAGAGTGATACAAAAAAGGGTTCTAACTTCTAAGGTAGATAGGTGGTATTTGTCAAATGAGGAAAAAAGTCCTAATAAATATATATTACTATTTTCAGATTTTAATAAATAATTTTTTATTTCGGTCAAAGCTATTGAGTTTATCGCCACGGGAACTATCGCACCATATGGAAACAATAGATTACCATATATAATTTCATCTTTTTCTGGTTTACCGAACGTTTTCGACAATTTTTATTAGTATTCTTACAAGTTTCTTCATTGTCTCTATACCGTACGATAGCTCCCGAAGAAAGTTCCTAGTTTTAACAGACGCAAAAAATTGTTTATAACTTCGGGAATATTAATTTTGCGACCCATGTTCATTCTGACTTCGTTTCATCGTTCGACGAGTACTATCTACCCCAGAGTTAGGAACCCTTTTTTTTGGTACCACCCTGTGTAATTTTCACAAAACATTACATTTTCATTGTGCAGACCAAATGTCCACATAATCCACACGTGAAAGAATTATTACCACTCATAAATATGTGTGGATACTTGGTCTGCCTAATAAGATCGATTTTTCAATGATTCTATTGATTACTTCAAGAAATCCTTACATAGGGCACTAAGAACTGTTTAATTAAACATTCTCTCCTATGATTAATTCCCTACTATACACTACGTTGCAGTAACTGTTTCCATTTGGATTTTTATTTAACTCCTATGCATACTGGGTTTATACCCGTATGATAACTAAAATAAAAATAAACCATGACCCACATGTGGGTCGCGGTACAACGAACGGTGTTTTGGCGTCCATCAAAACACTTCCCACCAGCCCCCTCACGAAACTTCCCGTTATTCTCGCGAGTTTCCCTCCTCCCCCCTTCAGAGAACTTCACATCACTTCCCTCCGTCGCCCCACCCCCTCCCGTGGAATCGATCGGTAAAGTAAAGAGACGTTGTGATCCCCGTTGCTCACCGAGTGCCAGGCAAAGGCAAGACAATATAGCCGGTATCCAGGAAGCGACAGAGGCCGACGAGTCCTTGAACGTCTCCATGACCTCGACGTAGAGCACGCCGTACGATTTGACCAGGCCGGCTACCCAGAACTGCACAAAGAACGCCCCGAACACGATCACCCATCCGTAACCGCCGTCCAACGGCATGCAGGTGACGTTTAGCGGTTTTCTCGGCTCGCATCCGCGTCGTTTCTTCTTGGCCGTTGTACATCTGGTCGACCGTAACTCCCGTGATTTCGCGATCAACGGACGGGCGGTCAGGCTCGATATCGTCAACAGATTCTCGTTGTCCTCGTCCTCGATGGTCTCTGGGCTCTGCAGATGGGGCGGCACGATCGGCGTCGAGGTCGCGGTCGTCTGCACCGCCAACGAGGCCGGCCTCTTCGGTGACGGCGCGCCGTTGCTCAGATCGAAAACAGGCGCCGAATGGATGGACAGCAACGAGCCCAGCTGATTCTGATTCATATTCTCGTCGATAACTGTACCGCCGCCGCCGACGACCATCTCCTGCGACGCTGTCGCGCAGACGACGACAGACTCGCCGGGATCGGCCGTGTCCTGATGGATGCTCCATTCTCGTGGTAACGACATATTTCAGCGGCTCCGTTCGCGCGTGGGGGACCGTAATACATTGGAGTTACGTTTGATTTGGGCCTCGTCTCTTTCGTGTAGTCACCCGGGACTGTTTCTCGTGTCTCTTTGCTACGGTCTACTGTCGTATTTCCCGTTGTCCCTGACGTTGCCCCCGACGGCGTTGTACTTGCTTGACACACGATGACACCTCTGAACGGATACGCTGGAGTTTTTTTCTTTTTTCTAGTCGGTCCTCTCGATGCACTTTCTGCCCTGAAGTGTCCAGGTGCTACGGGTTAGCCCGTTGGTCTAGGTCTGGCCCACCTTCGGGACGCGTGTCTTCCACTTGAATGCCGATGGAACTTCCGATCGGACTTGCCACCCCCCGCGTTCACGGTTCCCGTTCTGTCCCCAGGCTGTCCTGAACCACAAAAAAAACGCGGCTCCTTTTCTCCTCGCCCGTTCACACGTTCACCAGGATTCTCCCGACTCGGTACGCGGGGCGCTTGGTAAATAACCCGAGACGACGGGGATGCGCACGCAGGCAGATCACGTCAGGGAGGGAGGTCGCCACCGTGCGGAAACTTACGGGATCGATATTTCCATTCCGTTGTCGACGATGCACTGGCATCTCGCGGTGATCATCGGACCACCACGTGGCCACCCAGACGACACGATGACGGAGGAGGACGTCAGGTTGTGTGTCGGTTTGTTGTCCTGTCGAGGCCGACCCACTTCCAACAACGAACTGGGCTTTCCAGTCGTGGGGTGGCGCGTGGGTGGATCGCGTGTAACCCCGTCCTCTTTGGTGGTCCTTCCTTGATCGTCGACGACAACCGTATGCGGAGACATTACAGTGTCTTAAGAAATGATAGGTTAAGTCGTAGTTATGATTAGACTGCGGATTTTTATGCAAAATGATATTTTCTAAAGCAATTCATACAGAGCAGAGCAAATGTAGGAATTTCTTTCTTTTCTCAAGTATCATATTCGGTTCCGAATACACCAAAATACTTATTGGATCTGATGAAAGTTTTGTCCTTCATTGTAGTTTACAAACCCCTATAGGCTATAAATGCAGAAAATCCGAAGTCTAGTTATGATCGTAACACATGGAATATATCGGTCAATCTGATATTTTCAATGTACTAGGCACTTATAGTAACGAATTTCATTGTTAAACAGTATTTAAAGATATCGTGTCGAAACGAGTTTAGACATTTTTTTACCGACGTAGTCAATTTTTGACCTTTAATAAATGACGGGTTCACTCGTTAAGAAAGGTTAATGTTCAAGAACTTAATATGTCATGAAGATTAATAAGCCTATTAAATACTAATTTTCATGATACACGCGACATAAACAGAAAAATATGTACAAGGGTAAGTCAATAAGAACTACTACCTCTGTAAAATAACTCGTTACCTATTGGCTGTATAAGAAAACGTTTTAATCAGATATGTAGTAGTTTAAGGGACACATCGGGTGGATGTAATTTGACTTTTATATATTTTACTCTTTTTTTAAATGTCAAGGTGACCTTCAACTTTTTCAAGGTCAATGCATCTTCTCTTTAATACCATTATGCTATAGGTCGCTGAATTCGTCTTTTCATCGATGACGTGGTATTAAGAAAAAGACGGATTGTCCTTAAAAAATTTAAGATCACCTAGATATCTAAAAAAAATTTTTTAAATCAAATTCTATTCATCTGATATATCCCTTAAAATGCTACATATCATAAAAACATTTTCTGATACAACCAATAGGTAACGAGTTATTTTAGATAGTGATTCTTATTAATTCACCTTGTACATAAACTTTTTCTTTAGTTAAATTTAGATGAATTGGGAAAATACCACACTGTGGAATGGTTAATATTTGTTACATAATCGCCCCTATCCTCCCTCCCGAGAATGATCGAGCGGACCGAGATGGATGCTCCGACTCTCTGTCTGATCGCTAGCTATCGATCGTTCGGATGGAGGACGAATGAACGGGCGAATCTTGGACAAAAAAAAACGATTTATGTATAATGGATCCTGGTCGGAAAAGTGGAAAATGCAGAGCCGAAAATCACGATAGTAGGGGGACGGGGGGCACACGCGACTGTGCGCAGCATCCGAACGGATCAATGAATTCTCCGCGAGTTTCCGTCCTCAGATCCACCTTCGCGCTCACCGTCGACGCTGGACCGCTCGGTCCGTTCGGCCAGGGAAAACCCGACGAAAGGGGCGTGTACCAGTTTTCCCAAATGAGTCCGATCGCCGTGTTCGCGAGAATAATCCCGTGAGAAAAAAAAACAACGGATCTGCGGCTGGGTCCCTCCTTGTCGGTACGTTTCGAACCATTTTGTTCTGTAACCTTTTAACTCCTAGTGTTGCACCGGTTCAACACTGATTTTATAAGTGCACAATTGATATCTAACTTTTGTCATTAAGGATTCATAGTTTCACTGATGTGAAGTAGATCTTCGCGTTTTCAGCTGAGAAATTGGAGCATAGATTCCCACCAAAAAAAGAGAAAAAAGAAATTACAAAAAATAGGTCGATTTAATGCCGATATACTTCGACTTCGAAGTAACAAGATACAACATATATATTATATATACATATATCAGTCTTATAATTTTTAAATAATGATTTAAGGGGCTGGGCGTTAAAGGGTTAACGTAACGATCGATGGATAGATTACGGACGGGGAATCGAAGAGAAAGTTGTGACCTTTTCTGTCCTTGTGTTGCGTTTGTTATTCGTAATCTGGATTACGAATTTATGGATTTTAATAACGTGTAGGATTGTTCGAAACACGGTTGTATTGAAATGTCTGATAAATTGCAATTTTTCTTGTTTCTGGTTTTTAGTTTTTTTGCATCGTCAATAAGCTGTAACCTCATTTTCCCTAAAAGTAATTGTGTCAATTTTTTGTTCTCTTCCACTAAGTCCGTCAATTGTTAAAAGCATATAAGAATTACTTTAATTTTTGAGGCGACAATTATACGGATACTGGGATTGCTTGTAGATTTTAATTAATTATCTTACTAATTCTTCGTATTTAACAATTTAACGTATAAAACTAATTTTTTTTTCATGAAAGAAATGTTAAATAATATTATGTTCCAAATTGAGACGACTTTAGGTTAAACAACATGTAAAGCGATTAATGAAGTTACGCTACGATCTTAAGGTGCAAGGATTCAGGACATCTAGCCTAACTATCGTATATTCAATTTTCATTTCGTTTGCTGTTCGACGAACTCAACTTGTTTTCTCCGTTCGTAGATCGAGGTCCTGGAATGGCGAAACACGAAGTAGCGTTATTGCTCGTCCTGCTGATCGTTCTGAACGACGTGATCTACAATGGACTCGCGGTACGCCAGGCGAACAATCCCACCTTATTCAAGATCGGCGGCGTATTGTCGAATGAGGAGAGCAAAACATATTTCAGGGAAACAATCGACGTAAGTAACACGCGCCCGTTGAACGTACCCCCTTCGCAAAAACGGGGTCCATTGAAATACGGAGCCTCTTGTGGAACACTCGATTCTCGAATACGTTCGCCCCATTTTTTTCGTTGTTTTTTAATTAAATGCCCTTTAACACCAAGGTCCAATTTCTTTGATCCACGATCGAGACAAAAACGTTTTACGATCGAGAGTGGAGCCTCGAGTTCGAATTTCGCGACAAAAGGATAGCACTTCCTATAATTATACAGGGTGAGTCACTAAGAAATACTATCTAAAATAACTCTTGTCTATTAGTTGTACAAAAGGCGTTTTAATGAACTATATTGCGTTTTAAGGAACGCATGGGATGGATACAATTTGATTTTTTTATATCGTATTTTTTTTTAGATATCAAGGTGACCTTAATATCTAACAAAAAAAATAAGATTTCTTTCAGAAGAAAAATAAGAAGTCACTTAAAGTGATACATAATTCATTGAAACGTTTTCTGATACAATCAATAGGTAACGGGTTATTTTAGATAGTACTTCTTATTGACTCACCCTTGTACATATTTTTCTGTTTATGTCACGTGTATCACGAAAATTAGTATTATGTATTAAGTTTTTCAACTTTACGAACTCTAATCAGCTGAGCGGTTGGCACTATTGTATTGGTGATTCCAGCACCTGAACTTCGACTCGAAGTACGTCGGGAAGGGAGTGACCTACAAGCACACCGTGATCGAGATGGACCCGAATCCGATTAAAACGGCGCTGAACGTCTGCAAGTTCCTAATCGCGGAACAAGTGTATGCTGTGGTGGTCTCGCATCCTCTTACGGGGGACCTGTCGCCGGCAGCTGTTTCTTACACCTGCGGATTTTACCATATACCTGTCATCGGTATATCGTCGAGGGACTCCGCGTTCTCGGACAAAGTGAGCGAAAGAAACGGCGATATTTTTTCGACTTAAGCTCGTCGAGCAGACCAGAGTATGATGAAAAATGATGAATTACTCATTGTGACGCTCGCTAAGCCTGACAATTCTGCGCAAACAAGATTCCCGAGTGATACCACCGTTACGTCAGTATCGCATTATCGGTATTATTATGCAATCCGCGTTAAAGATCTATCGTCCGTTTATGGACGATTATGTACTCGGAACGACCGAGTGTTCAACTGATACGGTATTTTTTTTTTCGTTTTTTTTTTTTTTTCACAGAATATCCATGTCTCCTTTCTGCGAACGGTGCCGCCGTACTCGCACCAGGCGGACGTCTGGGTGGAGCTGTTGAAACACTTCAACTACATGAAGGTGATCTTCATACACAGCTCCGATACCGATGGCCGTGCTCTGCTCGGCAGATTCCAGACCACCTCGCAGAATTTGGAGGATGACGTAGAAATTAAGGTCCAGGTGGGTTTATAGAAACGAAAAAAAAAAAGAAGATATACGGTAGTGAATTCATCAGTTACTCCAAGTACCGGGGATTGTTCTAAACAGGTGGAGTCGATCATCGAGTTCGAACCGGGCCTGGTGAGCTTCACGCAACAGCTGATGGACATGAAGGACGCGCAGGCCAGAGTCTGTCTACTATACGCTTCGTAAGTGTATACTCTTGTGCGCCCGATCTAGCGTGTCCTCGTCCCGTATACAATGGACGTGGGCGTAGCCAGGGGGTTTACCAGGGGGTTACAAGAAAAAAATTGGATCTTGACCCCCCCCCCTCCCTTGCCAGAGTTACAAAATTTTTGCATAATATTTAATATTGCAGTATAATTTGAAACGCATACATTTTCAACGATTTATGACTTTAAAAACAAAATGAAGTGTGTCTGGCTACGTACAACCTTTTTCACTGTGTCAGTCGATGTGTAATATCCCCCCCCGGACTGATAATCTGGCTACGTCCATGACAATGAAATTCCGTTTACATGAACGAAGCAACCGTTCCATTTATTCCCGTGAACTAAACGTTATTCAGGCAGTATTAAAATTTCGTCGTATTCTTTCTTATTGGACCACCCCGTACATGTACTATATATAAATTCTGCTGTGATCGAATACCGTTTTAACACGCGATTTGTTCCCTCTTGTTGCACGCCGGACTAAAACAGGAAAACCGACGCGAGCGTGATCTTCCAAGACGCCGCCGCCCTGAACATGACCGGCGCCGGATACGTATGGATCGTGACGGAGCAAGCCTTAGACGCGACGAACGCACCGGAAGGTCTTCTCGGCTTGAAATTAATTAACGCAGAGAAAGAGAAGGCACACATCGAGGACAGCCTGTCAGTCCCCTTTCTGATCAGTGGCCATTGACTGTGTAGCTTCTCGTGTTTAGATAATGTTGCCATCCCCTCCCCCCGTTTCGCCATGGAAAACCATGGAGACCACTTCTACACATACACTACCGTTCATAAATATGAGGACGCCTATCGTATATGGAGTAGACGAAATAAGGCATTACAAGATTGCCGAAGGACTGGAATAAATATTGTGTAGGGAAAATAGCCGTACAGGCGAGGTGTCCTAATACTTACGAACGGCACTGTACGCATGAGAAGACTTACGATCCGTTCGATTGTTTCTCTATGCTCCTATCCTATAAGTGCACGTCCAGATCGCGGACGTTCATAGTGCTTTCGTGCTTGCTATTCTTATCGCGTTTCGTTCCAGCATAAACGTATAAAATCCACGATCTGGCCTGGATATGCAAATTGTAACAAGTAGATCGCAGATATTTGTAAAAACCCCCCGTTTCACGGTACCCAGAACCAGAAAGGACGAAAAACATGCTTCATGTTTAAAGGGTTCATTGAATTAGGAAGAATACAAGTAGTTTAGGAATTTTTGCTGAAAGTATTGTTAAAGGGGGACTGGTTTGAATCTTTGCGTCTTTACCTTTTCATGAAAAATAATTCGATCGCTTTATGATTGCTGCACGAACGAACAATATTCGCCGTCTGGACTGATTACTTTTGGTCTCACTTCCTTGCAATCTCTCTCTCGCGTATTTGACTTTCTCTGATGTTGTAGATGCCGCATGCGTTACGTAGGGGCACACACCTATGTTTTCACTGCAACGTACAACTGATTTCAGATCACCGGAATCACATCTACATACCCTCCTAGTACACCTTCCAAATCTCTCCGAGTGGACATTCCGTGTTGTTCACCGTAACGCTGTATTTTATATTTATATATATACATCTAGGATATAATATACATATATGTTGTGTGTGTTCGGAGTAACGTTGCGTGACCCGTTCAGGCTATAAACTCCTTCAGACCGAACACCGAAAGAACAGAATCAGTATTCTTAAGATTGTCCAGTGAAAAATAGGAAAACACCGATTAACCCTCCTCCGTCCCTTGTATCAATTTGACACATTTTTCTCCTACGAAATAATGTTATTCTGTCATGTATAGGTATTAGGTGTACACATTAATTTGTGGCCTTCTTTTCGTAGATCTGTTGTCTTTTTACAAAAAAACCCAAGGTACAGTTCCAGATAGCACACAGGCGGTTTAATGACGGCTTAAAGGCGCCTCAGGGCCTAAAATGGGCGTCTTCAAGGCGTCATGTGCTATCTACGTTAGGGGCGGATCAGGGTTAACCGTTTAACGGGGTGGTATTTTCACCCTGAACAATCAAAATGTGGCAAAAAGCAAATTTTGTTTTCTCAATTTCAAAAAAAAAATCCAAACTTTCCGTGTTACCAAAGTTTTTACGTAAGTGATCCAAGAAGTACTGAATCCACATACTTGTCTCCGGTCTGGAGGAGTTCCGGCAAAATGGCGGACGATTAGCAAATATTCCGCGATATCGGCCCGGTTGGTATCCCCGATACAGTGAGATTTATGTTTCAGGGTGGTCCTGTTGTTCGCTCTGAGAGCGATGAACGCCTCGGAAGAGATCACCGAAGCGCCGAAGGACTGCGGTGGATCCGGATCGATTTGGGAAACCGGGAAACGGTTATTCCAGTACGTTTCATGTCCACCATGTGTATACAGTCCCGTACAAAAGTATTAGGACACTTATCGAATATGCAGTAAATGTTGCAAAACATCATTAAATGTGCTCCTCGAAACCATGCAAGTTTCTGACACATTTTTTTCTATTACCAGTAACAGCCAAGATATTCAGGTGGTATCTTTTAGGTACCTCACCCTGCATAATTTTTACGAAACATATCTTTTCCTTGCAGACCAGATGTCCTAATGCTTACAAGTGGTAGCCCCAAGTAGAATGTACATAGAAATTCGAACGATGTCACGGTATATAAAGCGTTTCCATCGATCGTTCAGATACATCCGCAAGGAAGTGCTGACGGACGGTAAAACCGGAAGGGTGGCGTTCGACGACAACGGGGACCGAATCTTCGCCGAATACGACATCATCAACATCAAAGAGAACGGCGAACGTGTCTCCGTGGGACAATACTTTTATCCGACCGTAAGCTTCAGGAACCATTCGGTCGAGTTTACAAGATTTCCTACGGGACCCACTGTCCGACTCGAATCGTCGGAAATATTTCCGCTCTGGTTTGTAGGTCAATAGCTACGCTGATTGTGAATAGTACTTAATGCTAAACTACTACCGGTAACTCAATACATGCTGTAACCTACTAATTAACCCTCCGTGGTCACTCAAGGTCCAAATAACCCCAGCAAAAGTTTAAGGCTTTATATCTCTATACTTTACGTATTATCGAAAATATATAAAAATTGAAGCAGTTATAATATTTTTTAGCGAAAAAATTCACGATTTTTTTCTGAATATGTTGACATTGAAATTGTTACCGAAAAACGAGGTTGTTCCATGTTCTACAATGTTAAAACTATGTTTCATAACTTTTCAATACAACAGAACAATTGCTATGGAAAAAAACAAACGTTTCAAAATCGGCCATGGGTGTAGCCAGGAGAGCAGGTGACACTTGCCACACTAGAGGAAAAAGGATGGCCTTTTTCCTTACTGTAGGGCGAAAAAATTAGGGTTTACTCCGTCCCATCCCCCATAGGAGGAAAATAATAAATATTATAAAATTTATACCAGGTCTAACGAAAATGTTGCAGGTCCCTGAAATGGGACATTCGTGGGGCGATTTGGAACACGTTTCTCCTTAGCAAAAATGTTATCCGAAGCTTTGTTAACGAAATATTAACGAACACCCCCGACTAATATCTCGTTAACAAAGTCTCGGATAACATTTTTGCTAAGGAAAAACGTGTTCTAATTCGCCTCAGTGTCCCATTTCAAGGACCTGCAACATTTTTGTTACACCCTGTACATCGATTTACTAATTCGCAAGTTTAATCACTGAGAATCGATCATCCACTCGTCAGACTTGTTTGCGATTGCGTTCGCAGAACGGTACCAAGATGAAGCTGAGGGTGAACGAGTCGAACATAACGTGGCCCGGTCGGCTGCGTACCAAACCGGAGGGTTTCATGATCCCGACGCACTTAAAAGTGCTCACCATCGAGGAGAAGCCGTTCGTCTACGTTCGCGAGATCGCAGACAGTGAATCCTGTCTGCCGGACGAGATTCTGTGCCCCCACTTCAACGCCACGGAGCACGAACGTGAGTTACGAAACTAGTACAAACCTCTCTGGTTCTATCAATTAACATTTTGTTCTGTTAATTAATTCCTCTTGGTCTTCTGTCAATTAATCGAACGGTTTCCAGGCACGAAATCGTTCTGCTGCAAGGGCTACTGTATGGATCTGTTGAAAGAGCTATCGAAGACCATCAACTTCACTTACAGCTTGGCCCTGTCCCCCGACGGACAGTTCGGCAGTTACGTCATCAAAAACAGTTCAGGTTGCGAATCCTTCTTGCACGGGAAACCTTTACCTTAGAGCTGAATCACGAGTTTCTTTTTTTATTAAATTGCTTTGTAGGTGTGGAGAAGAGGTGGAGGCAATCTCCGAAAGTATTCCTTAAGGTTGCTTCCGCGTTTGGTATCGCATCTAAAACATAAATCACTATTTCTTTACATTTTCGAATTTTGTTCGAAAAAAAACCGATCGACAAAATTCGGGATAACACCTCGTGGGTTCTCCCATATTAGGGAGAATTATGTTAGATTGTCTCGAAATTAATGCAGTTTTTCAATATTTGTCGTTAAGACGGCCTACTTCGGCTTGAAACAAACTTTATTAACCCTAGATTACTAAACTATCGTAAAAATTACGACTACAAATTCTTTATTGTTTAACAAAAGGGCTTGAATATAATACAAATATGAAACCTGCATTAATTTCCAGACAACCTTATAGCTGATCCGATTCTGTAAACGAAGCAGTGAGATATACATTTACCAATGTTTCAGTGGGAGGGAAGAAAGAGTGGACAGGACTCATAGGCGAGCTGGTCAACGAAAGAGCGGACATGATCGTCGCCCCTTTAACGATCAATCCCGAACGGGCGGAGTTCATCGAATTCAGCAAACCGTTCAAGTACCAGGGTATCACTATCCTCGAGAAGAAGGTATACGCAATTGGATGGCACGGTATATATGTTATCGACCAAGTGAATAACACAGATATTATGCATAATGCTCGGCCACAATGAATAATAATGCACCCACAAAAAAAGCACGTACCTTATAAGATGCGCCCCTTGATGTCATTTAAGTTCTACGTCTCAAAATTTTTATAAAGTGTACCGTTAAGTCATTATTCGAGGCGATCAAGTTAACTGAGACACCCTGTAGATGACCTATTAATCACTTGCTCCATAACATATACACAACTGTTTGATCTGAATCGGTGAGGGATCGATTGAACAGAACAACGTCTTGCTCGACAGCCCTCGAGATCGTCGACCCTGGTGTCGTTCCTGCAACCGTTCAGCAACACGCTATGGATACTGGTGATGGTGGCGGTGCACGTGGTGGCTCTAGTTCTGTACCTCCTCGACCGGTTCTCGCCTTTCGGGAGGTTCAAGCTAGCAAACACCGACGGCACCGAAGAGGACGCCCTGAACTTGTCCAGCGCCGTGTGGTTCGCCTGGGGAGTTCTGCTGAACAGCGGCATCGGAGAAGGTTTTTTTTGGCTAAATTAAGATTTACAAAATTGAATATTACATACAAAAGCTTCATATCGTCGTTCTAGTTCTTAATTGTTCTATCTCTGCTAATTTCTAAACTGAGATAACTGAGTTTAACCGTCACGAAGTTTAACATTGTAGAAACAGGATAGTAGATCATCGCTGGATGAATAAAGACGATTTCCTTTTGCTTTACATTTTTCAATCAATTTAAAAGGAATCCGATAAGCTTTGTTATCCCGTGGAGCGTGTTTACCCCCGATGATCATTAACATAGAGTCGCCGAGAAATGTATTTATAGCGGCCGCCATTATCTTCCTTTGCCAACCGGGGTATAATTGAATCGATTAACAAGAGGACAAAAATGGAATCACGCGACCGATACTTACTGCCTTACTCTTCTATCCGGCGATGTTTCAAATGTTGAAAGGTATTCGATGAAATTGTTCGAAGTTATGGTGACTTAAATGTCGGGTGACGAGGGTAGCGCTTGTTTTCTAAACGTTTATTGAAGAAAAGATAATAGTCCACGGGTCTAGATGATCGCAGACGTTAAATCAGGATTTTCTATGATTCAATAGGCACTCCCAGAAGCTTCTCCGCCCGCGTGTTGGGTATGGTTTGGGCGGGATTCGCGATGATTATCGTGGCCTCTTACACCGCCAACTTGGCTGCGTTCTTGGTGCTGGAACGACCGAAGACCAAATTAACCGGAATCAACGACGCTCGTGTAAGGACGCCTCGAATATTTTTAATCAAAAAAACAAAATCACTCCAGGGAAATACACAATCGAGAGCAATAAGGGTGGACGTACATTCTTTTTTTAACCCTACGATGCATGAATCTGAGCGTTCATCGGATTTATATATCGTGGGTAAAAAAGACCCACCAGCTACTGTCTAAAATAACTCGTTACCTATTGGCTTTATCAGAAAACGTTTTAATGAATTACGTAGCATTTTAAAGGACACATCGGGTGGATACAATTTGATATTTTTATATCATATTTCTTTTTTTGAGATATCAAGGTGACCTTGAGTTTTTCATGGTCAATGCATATTTTAATATCACGTTGTTGTCAAAGGACGAATACAGCGACCTATAACATGATGGTATTAAAAAAATGATGCACTAACCTTGAAAAAACTCAAGATCACCTTACTAACTTAACAAAAATTATATATAAAAATGTCAAATTGTATCCATCTGATGTGTCCCTTAAAATGTCACATAATTCATTTGTGTGTAGGTAGTAGTTCTTATTGACTCACCCTGTACATGAATTCGCAAGGAAGGCATACACAAGGCCACATGCAATTATTTCAATATACAAGAAAGAAATCTAAGAATAAATATTCAAGTGGGTATAAAGTACCCAGGTTATGCATCCCAGGGTTGAATCGTTGCTCACAAAGGATCCGTATATTTGCAGCTGAGGAACACCATGGAGAATCTCACGTGCGCAACGGTGAAGGGCTCCGCCGTGGACATGTATTTCCGTCGACAGGTCGAGCTGTCGAACATGTATCGCACCATGGAAGCGAACAATTACGACACCGCCGAGGAAGCCATCAGGGACATCAAAATCGGGTACGGGACCAGCGATTGGCCATTTAAAAAATGTCTTCAGCAAAAATCAATTGTTTCGAGGATGATGTTCTTGTAGGAAACTGATGGCCTTCATCTGGGACAGCTCCCGGTTGGAATTCGAAGCAGCGCAAGACTGCGAGCTGGTGACTGCCGGTGAACTGTTCGGACGGTCTGGTTACGGGATCGGCTTGCAAAAGGGCTCTTTATGGGCGGACGCTGTGACATTGGCCATTCTGGATTTCCATGAAAGTAAGACTTACTCGACACCCCCTGGCAATCACTCTAAAGGCAAGGTCACTCTATTACAGGTCGTTCGATTGGTCTTGATCTGCACTATTACGCCACGATTATAAAAATATATAGTTCTGTGTAAAGAAACATCGATGAACTAGAAAATTCTAAAAATATGACCTTGAGAAAATCTATTTTGCTTGTCACAGTATTTGCTCCTTCCAGCCGAATAATATTTTCCTCTCATATGTTTGTCTATCTTCGAAAGTAAATGATACATTGAAGGTGCTAATGTTAGGTGGGACACCCTGTACAGTCAGGTTATGTTGCTTGCAGGCGGCTTTATGGAGAGCCTCGACCACCACTGGATTCTCCAGGACAACATACAGCAATGCGAGCAATCCGATAAGGCACCGAATACACTCGGTCTGAAGAACATGGCCGGTGTGTTTATAGTTGTCGGGGTGGGCATCATCGGTGGTATCGGTCTGATCATAATCGAGGTCGCGTACAAGAAGCATCAGATCCGCAAGCAAAAGAAGATGGAACTGGCCAGACACGCGGCGGACAAATGGAGGGGAGCGATCGAGGTAATGAGACCGTGGGGCGGAACCCTCCACGGTGTGTAACCGGTACCATCGTCTTCTTTTTCGAATATCTTTCGTTGTTGTCCTCTCCTCAGAATTCTGTGTTTATCAGTAAACCGCAAGCAGCCGTACGGACGAAGTAGGAGCGTCGCAGGAAAGTCCATCTAGTAATGATCACTTAAAATTACAATCGTCGAATGTTAACACACGATAGATCGTCGAGCACCAGTTCTTGCTTCCATCAGCTTTATGGATCGGTAGTCGGGGCTTCTGTAAAGTTGGTGCAAGATAGAAAATTCATAGAGAAAGAACGATTTTCCTCTGTATCTTGCATCGGTATTGCCATTATTTATTACGCAGGGTGAGTCATTAGATGTACATATGTACATTTAAATATTTTTAGTGGATCTTTATGAACATGGCAGTTCAAGGTCATTACGAGGTCCTGTGTTAGTACACAATTGATATCTTTCGTTTTCCAAGCTGTGAAGTGGAAAAGATAAGAATATGCAGTTTCATTAAGAAAAACAAAAAAAAGTCATCGATAACCTCAATAACTCGGAACAAATAACCTCGACGTTCGACAAAGTTCGTGTTGATTAGCAAATCCACTAAAAATATTCGGATGTCTTGACTCTCGTGACTGACCCTCAACAGCATTTATCAAGTATTTATTATGTCAGCTTTATCGTATTTAAAGTAAGCTTCAGATATCATCAAGCTACAGTTAGAAGTACAAAGTATGATCGTAACTCTTTGGGTGCCGGTACTAGTAAGTACTCTAAGACGATACGTGCACTAAAAGAGTTATTACGCTTTAAGATACAGTGCAGTATAACCTGCGAGTCTGTAAGCATTAGTCGAAACAAAACAGCAAGCGGAATTCTTTGCTGTCATGAATCGGGAATAATTGTATACTTTCTTTCATGCAGAAACGGAAGACTCTACGAGCTTCGATAGCAGCCCAACGAAGAATTCAAAGCAACGGCCTAAACGATCCTACCACCGTGAGCCTAGCGGTGGACACAGTAGCTAGATCGAGCATAACTCCGCGAAGTCCTGGCCGTGCCTGGCCAGGAGACAGCGATATACGTCAACGACCAATCGTTCGCTCAGATGATATCAGACTATCACCCGCCGCGTACACAGCGGATGTTTCACATCTAATAGTGTGAGCGAATCGATTTTTTATAGATTACTTGCATTGTAAACATTCAAATGTTATCACTTTCGTGAGAAGCTATGTTAGACATACGCACAGGTACAACTGTGTCGAGGGTATGTTTGTTTTATACAATAAAAATCGTTGCTTTAAAATTCGTCCCAGAGTAATTGACGTCCCTTTCTTAGTTGGCATAGTTGACTCCTCCTTCGGAACGAAATATGTATTGTTTTATACATATACATATGTATGTACATATGTTACATATTTTCGATTAATCGTAATGCGAAGATAACCGTGTATTATGGTTCATTCAAACGATTAGAGAAATAAAAGAATGTGTAGATGTAAGTATTTTAAAAATGCTAAATAAAGCGCAATAATAAACACAACATAATGTCTCACCTGTTCAAACAGTCGTTTCTCGACGGTTAGCATTAAAATGATAAATCATATAAGCAAGTACGTGCTATTATGCAGTTTCCTCTTCATTTCGTATCATAATCGTATAACTGAACAGTCTGTTAGATACTACGGATGCTATATATTCATTATTCACACCTTCCAACTTTTATTTGTATTTTCGCAGTTATATATAGCTACGTAAATCATACACTGTTTTTAAAAAAAAATCTGTTTTATTCTAGTACATCAGAGTCTGTTCCAGCAGCAACGTATCAACCGTAACTCGAAATACTGATACATAATCAATTTTTAAACATGTATTTTTAAATAACAGCATTCTCTTCATGAAACATACAGTATCTAGAGTCGACGTGGAATTTTCAATTAATATTCCTGTACTTTACTAACTACATTCATTTGAAGTGATTATACTTAACCCCCGTAACGTAATCCCGCATTACCAACAACATTATTATACAAATTATAACGTGTAATTTTTTACAATAGAAAGAGATATCACTTTTTTTAACGTATTGTTTAGTATTTAATCATTTTACCGTCTATTCACGTTAAAGATAGACTTGGTCAGAGTAAGACCACGTGACGTTTCTGAGACGTAGCATATGGTATTTTTTGTTTAAAATTTATTTTCGAATATATGTGCTAAAACTGAAAGTTTATTTTAGAATATATATATATTGTGATTAGTTAAATATTTATGGAAAAAAATGCGAAATGGGTGAGGCTTATTCATTTTTCGGTATAGACTTTTAATCGAAAGTTCAAAAAGAATAAATTGTTGCTGTGTTACTTGAGAATGCAAAAATTAAAAAATATATTTAAAAAAAGAGAAAGGTGCTTCGTTTCGTGTTTCGCGCAATTATATTTTTAATGGTTTATATACACAAAATTTAGTCAAACGTACGATAAGACGTCGCTAGAAAAGAGACTTTATGCGCGGATTTATTGCAAGTAGATACGTTATTGTCGGCTGCGAAATGTACCAATCAGAGATCCATCACGTGATACCCTGAACAGCCATTTTGTTGTGACGAAGTCTATCTTTAACGTGAACATTACAGTACTTACAACGAAATAACCGGTATACCGTTTCTCCTAGTGAGTTTCCTTCCTACACTTTGTACTGCACACCATGACCACGGACGTAACACATGAGAACGAATTGTGTCAAGTTTCTCACCGCTGTCATTTGACGGAGTTTCGTTAACCACCGTACCGGATTTATTTTCTACCTGGCTTCGAGACGGTTCAATTAGCTTATAATCGTTAGGCATGGCGGATACGACCGTGGACGCGACACGCCGTTTAAATGTTAAAAAACAGACCTTAGACGACGCTTATGCAGCGCCTGCAAATTTCCTCGAGATTGACGTGATTAATCCAATCACACACGGCGTCGGCAAGAAACGATATACCGATTACGAAGTTCGTATGAGGGTGAGTAAAAATGTTTTACTCATGTCATGTTTATTCCTGTCTGTTAACGTCCCATTGAACCTTGAAATTGTACCAGTTGTTTCACCCGGGGACGGTTTTCTTTTTGCCGCTTAAACGTAACGTGTCACGTATTGTTATCGAGGAAGATAAACTTACGTGGACCATACGTCGAAAAATTTAATCGAATTACATTCCATCACGAATTCACGAATCATTTTAACTATCGCATGGTCCGCGACTGTGTTTTCATTGTTGATCAAATTCTGCATTGCAGTCGATGCACACGCTCTGATCGTAATGTTTCCTACGTTCGAAACTGTGGGAATTCGGCGATTTTGAATGTTGAATGTTTTTGAATGCTGGAATAAATGAAGTTTATTTTTCAGCGAGTAAAACAATTATATTGGTAACGATAATTGTAATATAATTCCATTGGGCACACACCGATCAAATGTATTATGGGCTGTGTCTGCTATCTTACTTTTGGTGATAAAAGTGAACAGATAGAAAAATGAATGTGACTCTTGGGTCCATTTATAGAACTATAGATTAATTTATATTAAGAATTAGTGGAAATTCGAGGGACAATAATTAATGTGAACAAATCGTGTCTTATTGTAGATTCTATTATCTAACATGATTTGGTATTAATAATCTTTAATACCAAATGAATCTTAATTGTCAATTATAAATTTTAAATGAAATACTCAGAGCTGTATAACTTGATTCATCCGTGATAGATATTCTAAAAGTAACAAGTTTCTAAGTAAACAATTGTAACTACTACATTGTGTTTCCAGACAAACCTACCAGTTTTCAAAGTTAAAGATTCCACAGTGAGAAGAAGATATAGTGATTTTGAATGGTTAAGGAATGAATTAGAAAGAGATAGCAAGGTCAGTTGACTATTGAGTTCAGATATATTATTTAATACAATATTTAAACGAATATATTTATACATTTATACATTTATTTAAATTGTATTAATATATTTTTAATTGCTTAGATTGTAGTGCCTCCATTACCAGGAAAGGCCTGGAAACGCCAGATGCCTTTTCGTGGAGATGATGGTATTTTTGAAGAAGACTTTATTGAAGATCGAAGAAAAGGATTGGAAGAGTTTGTTAATAAGTATGTGTATTTGTATTTTGAGAGCCAATAATATATCACTAGTCTCTACTTGAAAACTGATAGTCAGTGGCCTAAGTATCGAGTTATTAAAATGGTGAAAAAATCATAAATGCTGTTTCAGAATAGCAGGACATCCACTAGCACAGAATGAACGATGTTTGCACATGTTTCTGCAAGAACCTGTAATAAACAAGAACTACGTACCTGGAAAAATACGTAATACATAAGTTACAATAAGACTCATCGCAAGTATATTTGTCTCCCCACCTTTAATATTTAGTCATGTTTGACTATGTTGAAAATTGATTCTACAATTTTGCAAGATCCTTCTGGATTTGTATGCAATATTCAATCGAGTTTTCGATGCTGTGATGTCAAATTACAATACTTGTTTCTTTGGAAGTACTTGTGTTTAAAAAATGTATTAAACACTCAGAGGGATCTTGTTATTAAGTGTCATTATCAGTCACCTGAACAGACTAATACAATTTTTTTCTGTCTTCTGTTTTGTTTAATGTTATAGTAACATTGGCTTTCTATAAAGAGGTGTATAATTTGATATTTATCATTTTCAATGTTTGTAGAGTAACATTGTATACAAACAGTTCAATTAATATATAAATATGAAATTCATAAATTTTAAAATATAGCTTACAAATGAAATATCAAGATGAAAGCTATTTAATTACAAGTTGTTCAGTAGAAACAGTGAGAAATATTTCTCCGCTGCCTTTTAGAGGGATTTCAGTTAAATTGTTTGTATGTTTGTGGTATTATTGCAGAATAATATTTTGAAATAAAAAGTATTTAGTATAAAATAAAGAGGAAAAGAAAAGAAAAATGTAATATTACAGAATCACAGTTTCCTATTGGACAACTTGTGAGTGGCATATATAATAAATTTATTTGTAAACAGTGCTATTGCAACTAGGTGAATAAGATATAATTGAGTTAAAGAATAGAGATAAAACTCGCGAAAATTGTACATGATTTGATATTCTCTATGCGAATGAAATGTTAAGAAATCTAAAATTTACTGAACATAATTCTTTGTTTATTAATGATAAAGTATATATAACTAAGGTGTTTCAAATCTCCTTGTTATATACTTCGTGTTTTATTGTGAGGATAGGATGCAGAAATAATATTATTATACTGAAATCAACAGTAAAATCGATAACTTGTTAATTTTATATATTGCTTAAATTAATAACATAAGCAACGTTTCTTAAAAGTTTGTAACTGTCAATGGGACTGTGTACAGGGCATAGATTAAAACTACTTTACTGTTTTTCATTTAATTTATAATGTATATGGCAAGTGAACTTTCATTAACTGTATTTCATTACACTAATTGTACATATACTTGCGTGTGTGTTCACGCACATGCATACACACTCACATATAAACAGGAGTATTGTATATCAATATAAATAATAACATAAAAAAAGATGAAGACTGTGACTTATGTACTAATTTAAAGCTTCTATGTTTAGTGGAAACATCTTAATAAAAGTTTCTACTTCGTTTAAAAGAAGAACAAAAGATATGTATATAAGAAACTTATTAGAAACAAAGATTGCAGTTGTAAGAAAATTTCAACTAAAAATTTTATATGATTCATAAAGAAAAAAAAAATCGTACAAAAAGACAGTTACTATGCTTTCCTATTTACACTGCATTCCTGTTATATGCATATCGTTGGACAATCAACGTACAACAAACATCTTTATTGCGTTTTTGCCATTAAACCGATATGTGTAATCTTCTCAACGAAATTTAATTTTGAAATTTTTAAAAATGAAATAATTACGGTGCTAGTAGTCTATCAATTGTATTAAGATAGTTTTCCCTCATCAATGAATTTAAGACTATGTAATTTATACTTATAAGTATACATCCTGTTTAGTTTTAATGAATTTTTTATTTTTAAAGTACGTGTCTATATATTTGCTCACGCAGTCTTGCTCTGAAAAAGAAAAATAAATATTAGTTATTTCATTCTGTACTATGCTACTTTTATTAAGCATTTCATATATTATTGGGTGCTAACCAGGAAAAGTGTTATCAATAATAAGCATATCAGCTATGTGTTTTGCAACTACTTTAAAGAGTTGTCTGTCTTTAATCCTTCTTTTTTTGTAGAACGGCATCAGATGTTTTACTATCCATGGTGCTATCCTCTCTTTACATGCGGTCAAATGTTCCTCGATGCAGATCGGTGAATCCGGCATCATTTCTTCGTCGTCGGATTCTCCAAACAAATCGATAAATTTTTGTTTTACCTTTCCATGTCTTCTATAATTCTTCAAAGACAATTCTGTCATTTTCGCTTTCAATTTTGATACTTGATACACACGTTCAACAAACCAAATACTATTTGCTCTGCGTTTCTGTTTACTTTCAGGAGTCTCATGTTCTCCTGCCAACAACTTATTAGCTTCTCTGTTTTTCATCTCTTTGTAATAACTAAAACTATATTTTCCTGTATTTGTGTTTGACGGCTTTGTAGTATTGCTTTTAATATTACATTTTCTATTGCCATTGCTTTCAGGTATACAAGTAGAGCTGGTCGAATTAGGTGGAAAAGCAGCGTCTGTTTCTAAACATATTTTATTAATCTCTTTGTCCACATTAGCTTTACTGACGCCTGAATGTTTCTCTATTAATGTCATAAGATCGCTGCTATCGTCGCTATCACAGAACATATCCTCCATATGTTGTAATATCGAATCTTGTGAATTTTCATCATCGTTCGGTATATTGGATGGATTGTTTATGATTTGAGTATTAGAATTATCCTCTGTACAATTAAAAATATTACATTCTTCTTTCACTGTTTCTTCATCGGTTGCCATTTTATTGTTGATTTCTTCGTCAGATTCAGCCTTAAATATACTCTGTTCTGTATCATTACAGCAGGTAGAATTTACAGTGGGTGATGCTGTATTGTTGTAACTAGAAGATTCAGAATCTTCAGCTTTAGGTTCAGTTATGTCAGTTACATTCTCTTCTTCCTTGAGAAGCAGTTCCTCTTCCTTGGAAAATAATTCCTCGCAATTGGACGTAATACAAATACTTTGAATGTTATCGGCTTTCTCTAGCTCTGCCCATGAATTAATAGTTTGTACTGCGACATCTACCTTGGTTGGTGGAGTCTCTAAAAATATCACTAATTTCTTATAGGCTTTCTTATCCGATGTATAAGATTTCACATCTGAAATCTATAAGTGTTTTAATTGTAACTGTTAATCCTTGTATTAAATTTCTTAATTTATAACAATAGGGTGAACTTACCAACTTCAACATATTATGTCTATACAAAGTGGCTTCTAAAGATGACCGAACAGCCAGTAATTCCATTTGATTCGCACATCTTTTTAACTGTTCGCATGGAATATCTTGATCCTTGTCTTTGTAATACAGAATGTAATTGGTGAGCAAACATTTATGAAGATATGAGTAGTACACAGCACGAACCTGTAATACAACACATTTGTTCAGATTAAATGACCATTAACTTTTCGTAAATTAAAATTTATGAACTGGAAATTCTAAAAATGCAAAGCATTTATGTATTGAATCTTGGCATAATGAAAAGTATAAGACTGTCAAACTGCGTTTTCATTTCATTTGAAATGTGGTAATTTTTAACTCAGTAAGTAAATTGCCCTTCCATTCTAATTTCTGTGAATAAATCCATAACAATCGATATTTGCATAAACGTCCTCGGTTTATTTATGAACGATTAATGTCTCGTTTAAACGATGATACTTTGAAGGAATTATTTAGTTCTGTACAGGGACCATGCCTTGGTAGTCAATCGAAGAAATTCGTCATTTGGATCAGTAGGAAATTGAGAGTTGTTCATCGAAAGGGAAGGTAGCGATATTGACAGAAGATTGTTAATATCTTCAAGACTAGTGTTGTCATCGTCGGTGTCTATGATGTCGAATTCGTCCCGTTCCCTCTTCAACGAGAACGATATGTCCATTTGCTCCGTTGTCGTCATTTTATTTCATAATCTGTCGTCAAACCATTTACAGAACCAGTTCAAATTCTTCACTCGACAAATCCTGTGTAATTATTCACCGCGCAACAATGTCATGTTCAACGTTCTTGTGCATCTAACACGTAAATAGTCACTACTTTATGAAACGAGTGTAGTGCGTAATGAAATCTTTGTTAACGTTATATAGAATGCAATAAATAAACAATTCTCTGTAATCAAGGGAAAGTAATGTTTATTATACATATATATATGTACACACATTTGACTATAATAATAGCGGATCGTTGGTGACTAACTTCACGCGGGTTGAACGTTGAATCTCAAAAGACCTTTACCATAAGGCGCAATCAATAATATTAACTAAAATATTATTGATCAATTGAACTAATTTAGGGTCTTCTTTAATAGGAGTGATTTAATCAAATACTATAAACCTTAGTATTAATGTAATATTGTTTAATATCTATTAAAAGTATCACTGTTTCGTATACTGGGTGTCCATATTATCAATTAGGATGCTCGGAGTAACGGTGCAAAAATAATGACAATGTATTAAAATCATTTTGGATTATCTACATAATTCCAGACATTAGTATTGCATTGTTTATTAATTTATGATACAGATCAATGATATAAAAATATTAAGGATTGTATTTCAAATGGTGACATCAATTTATTTTTGTATTATATTAATACCAGTTTCTGTGTTAATATACACTGAGCTTGAATGTTTTATACATTAAAATGATAAGCTAAAATGTATCAGTTATCTCTAGTTTCTGGTTCTTCATCGTACGCAGCCATGACCTTTTCCATTATTTCCCAAAGCTTGTCTCTTGTTAATTCTTTGCAGAATACCTGAAAACCATAAAGGTATTATACTTTATATCTTTCAAAGTAATTTGCAGTGCTTGCATGTTTAAAGATCCTCGAGACCTACATTAAACCATGGCTGTTGATCACACTCATCCATTAATGGTACTACAACACCATAAATTTGTAGCGACAAATTAATACAAGCGATAGCTACTAAATTTGGTTGATAATCGAGAATGGCAGACGAGTGATGAAAATCTTGTAGGAGTGCCATACTGGTTTTTGCAACTGGATATTTAGACCACTCCTCTTCCCCAAACCATGCTTGTAAGGATCTGAGATAGTGCAACATGTACTGAAAGAATAAAATTTCATTATGTTACTATAATTTACAATATAAATTTAACAACAAAGAATTACTTTGTAAAATCAATCAGGATGATTGTTTCTTTAAAAAAAAAATATATTTACTTTGTGTGGATGAATAGGGGTCACTTGAAACTTCAGCATACGCATTATTAAAAGTTCTGCTTGAACGATTGCATCTCTCATGCTCCAATACTGATCTCCCAATTCTAAAGGCTGAGATCCTCTATGTAGAGTGCTATAAGACACATTCATCACATCTCTGATTTTCAAATTGTCATCTTTCACTTTTCCAGCCAGATAAAGACAAGTGGCAGCAATTAGCTAAAACATACATACATTTACATAAACATCAATTTTACAAAATGTATAAATTAAGATCAGTATCATCTATTTACATAGTTATCGTAACCTCCTGGGGTAGCCTCTTTTGTAAACCTATGATATAAAGTTGCAGCTGTGGCAATAGTTAATGGATGAGCTTCCAGTTTTAAGCCTGTAAATTTAAAACTTAAACTACAGACTTTGTAAACATATTACACGTATAAACAAGAAACTTACCACATTCGAATATAAATCTGGAAACGGTGAAGCTGTCACTACCTTTGGTATAATCAATCGTAATACTTTTTTGTAAAGTATTTCTCTTTTCCCTTTGCATGGCTAGCACATCAATAACATCTTTCATTTTGGAACTGTGAAATACATACTGTACTGTTAATTTACATATATATTTTTGTTTTATTAAAAATATCTTGAATTTCAAAAGATCGAAAATATATTTGGATATCCGAATTAGAACGGGACAGTAATTGATTGTTTTGTTTATGCACAAATTTGTTCTTCATCATTGCAATGTTGGATTTTGTACACCGTAAACCGGCACATTACCAAAAACCTTGTCATACAGAAAATTGTCTAATACCGCTATCGAATCTCTTGAAGTTTAAATTACCTTAACGTTTCGGTACTTGTTGGTTCCGTTGGATTCATGTTGATACTATTACAATCGAATTTCTTTTGAAAAAATTAAATTTATTTCCTTACAGGTTACGACAATATTTATGTATTTTTCACGCACCGCACGCATCGGTATTACCAACATTATCGACTTTCCCAACATTCCTTTTTTTTTTTCGTTCCCTAGAGACTATAATACCAACTTAAAGTAACTATGAATTGTGAAATTACTCCAGAAATGTTTGTTATTCTTTCGCTGACACTTTGAATCAAAATTACGCTTCCGTGTGGTAAAATGATAACCGTATACGTAATTAGCTTAAAGTCCAGATTTTAATTTGTGTGCGAATACGTAATCAATTAATTGATTCTATTTAAAAGATGTAAAATCATCGTCTGTAAATCAGTTTATTGTTATCTTACCTACCGAAAAAATGCCTCTAAAAGGTATTAGGGTTTTAGAATTAGCTGGACTGGCACCAGGCCCTTTTTGTGGGATGTTGTTAGTTGATTTTGGTGCATCGGTCATTAAAGTAGACAAGGTACTATAAAAATATAATTATTCTTTTGTTTGAGTTGGAGATATTATGTTATGTTATGAGATTACAGTCATATGTTCTATTTCAAATTAATTTCACAGTAAAAATGTTACACTTTTTACCTTTCACAGACCTTGTTTATATATGTGAAAATATTAAAACGTACTTGGCGATTTATAATTAAAAACAATCAACCTTATAAGTCTTAAATCATTTGTTTTCCATAGGCCAATGCAGTTCAAATTATTCCTGATTGTCTTGGCCATGGAAAGAGATCAATTGCATTGAACTTAAAAACCAAGAAGGGTATTAAAATATTCAAAAGATTGAGTGATCAAAGTGACGTAGTTATTGATCCATTTAGAGCTGGTTTGTACTTTTTTGTGGTAATGTTATAGTTCATAACATGTTCATACAGAAATATTTGTTTTTTTTTCTTTTTTTGATGATATATACATTAAAAAAATATTGATTTAATAGGTGTGATGGAGAAAATAAAACTGGGCCCGAAGGATCTTATGGAAACAAATAAGAGACTAATATATGCCAGATTAACAGGATTTGGTCAGAAAGGGCCTTATGCACACATGGCTGGCCATGATATTAATTATTTAGGTTTATCTGGTGAGAGGTGTATACATTAAGTACGATGTTTTGATTCTCATAATAGATCGGTGATAGACAGAGTGTGGCTGAAAGTATGGTACAGGTGGGCAGAAGGTAATTCCTTATGCAAAAATAAATGAAAAGTGTAAATTATAACTTTTTCATTCCAGGCTTTGTTTTCAAGATAATTGAATTTGACCACCTACTTGATGCAGGTACAATTGAATAGGACTTGGCAGTCCCGTCTGTTCATTGCGTTGCATTTCTACTTATTGTTAGCATAAATACATAGATTTTTAGATGAATTTTCGAAATCTATTATTTCAGAAATGAAGCCTTGGATAAAAAAAATGTTGTTTTGTACTTTTGATATATTTTTGCATAAAAAATCACCTCTTGCCTGCTTGTACCATGTCGTTGGCTACACCATATACATGTGTGATTATATTATTCGCCTTGTAATGTAGGTATACTATCCTTGCTTGGGCGTTATAATCAGAAACCAACACCACCAATCAATCTGGCTGCTGATTTCGGTGGTGGTGGGTTAATGTGCGCTTTTGGAATACTCTTAGCGCTGTTAGAGCGTAGCAGAAGTAACGCCGGTCAAGTGGTTGATGCATCAATGGTAGATGGGTCAGCCTATCTAGGTAGTTGGATCTTCAGGACCCAAAATATACCTGAATTATGGGGAAACCCACGTGGTAAAAATATGTGAGTGTTTCCAAACAAAAGTAATTCTCTTTATATTTTATAACTCTGTGATTAGTTCATACTGACAATAATCTTCAAATAGATTGGACACAGGATCACATTTTTATGATACTTACGAAACAAAAGATAAACAGTATATGTGTCTTGGAGCAATCGAACCACAGTTCTATGAGACATTTTTGGAGAAACTTGGTCTGTCAATAGACGAATTATCACAGTATGATAACTTCGAAGAGAATCGAGCGAAGTTAGAAAATATATTCAAACAAAAAACTCAGGCTGAGTGGTGCACTGTATTCGATGGCACGGATGCATGCGTGACACCTGTTTTAAATGTGAAAGAGGTTGCGCTTCACGCGCATAATAGAGAAAGAAAAACGTTCACAGTTTCGGAAGACGATTCGGTCATTCCAAACCCTGCTCCCCGTTTATCTCGAACTTCTGGAAAGTCGAAGGGACTTCAGAAGAATCCTGAACCTGGTGAGCATACAACAGAGATTCTTACAGAATTAAGTTTTAAATCCAGTGAAATTACTGACTTAATAAAAAATGGAATTGTTGAGCAAGGAATAGCACAGTCTAAGCTTTAAGTATTTTAAAAACCTATTTTTATCATAATAAGTCTGTGGCTTTTTCAAAAGATATGAAAGACTGTCATTGTAATATAATTTTTGTATATTTTTATAACCGTGTTATTATTGTCACAATGTTTTATTACCAATATTATTTGAATACATACATCTACAAACAGCGCCAGTCCACTTATTTCTTAAAATCTTAATGTAAAAATAATTTAAATCAGATAAAACGGTTCTTATCCATTCGTGTAAAGTAAATCGTCTAAAAACGGTCAATATCACATAAAACAGAATGGACCATTCTTACGGAGCAACGTTAATTACGTATGTAATTTAATGGCAACCACAGCTATTAATGACCATGTTTTTGTATTTTTTTAATACAACGTTACTGTCGTCTAAAAAATAAAGTACCGATATTGGTGACAATTTTGTGGGTGCACAACATGGTTTCGGTATTTCCTTTGGTTTCATAAGATGTACCAAAGTCTGCACAATGGCATGGTTGGTTGCGTTCATGTGAATGTTCAGTGGAAAGTTGCACTCTCCGCTGCAATAAAAAGCGTCATATCCTTCCGGTGCAATAATCCAGTCTTGCCATTGAAGGTCTTTAAAACTTATGTATAAAGTTTTCATGTTACAAGGGTTTATTTTTTTATAAACACCACGACTAGTATAAGGATTATTCTGAACGTTCATACTACTAAAATCGAATTTTTTCGGTCGATCTCTTTTCCGTCTTCGCAGTATCTCACGCTTGCCACGATTATCGGGACTTTTAAAAAAGCCAACCATGAAGGGTTGCTTATCGGGGATCCCTGAAACACCTACAACCCCTATATCATCTGGTCTTAAAATATGGCCAGTGTAATCGGCATGATGTACCGCTAAAAATAAACCTCGATTTTCTTTTGGATGTTTAACCCAATACTCAAGTGCTCGACTAATATTTAAAATTATCCATCCCTCTTTACCCGTTGTGGTATTAGCTGAATTTATATAATGTTTCATTCGTCCCCCGTTATTGGTTCTAGCCACTCTGTACAATGCAATTGTATATGTCCTATTATATTCAAAGCCTTTCTCCAAACTTTGGAAAAGTCGCAGTTCAGCTGCGATTATGTGTTCTCCATATGGTACCTCTGATACATCAAACCAGATTCTTTTTCCTCTATTCGTTTTCGACGCATTTCCTGAATGAGGATTATGTGCGCCGAAAGTCATGATAAAATCACTTTGATCAATGATATTAATATCATGTCCATTCAAATTGAATTTCTCCGTGTCTTCGTATTGGCCAATAATTAATTTGTTGTTATCGTTTAATAAAATATTTTTATAAATGTTCAGCAGAAATTTGGGTGCTGATCTTTTCACCAATAAGGCTCTGCGTGCGATTCTCTTTGGCCTCTCGGGCAGTTCTAGAATATTTAATAAATTTTGCTCCATTTCACGTTTTTGTTTGACGCTGGCAACACGGTGTAATATTGTTTGATCAAGTCCATTGTCTATGTATAAGCCACTTGATCTTTCAGAATTTGTCACAAATATTATTACTAGAAGGAATATTATTATTATGATATATTTTTTACACATTCCGTTAAACGTAATAGGAATTACAGTATCTTATATTTTAGTAATATTTCACTTTATGCATTCACGTGTGTTTACTTAATAATTCGTAGTTCATCTGCTAATGCCTGCAAAAAATATTGTATACAATAATGAAAGACTTTCATTGGCAGAAATATCATTTGTATACAAACTGGCAGGTGGTTACAGTGTCAGTGACTGACTTGTTGTATCTATCACTTTCCTACGCGAGTTAAATATGACGTTTAATTAAGCAAAGTTTGATATACGAAGGAGTCTATGCAATGTACTTGCAAAAAACTGATATAAGAATTCGAAATTCTACAGCGCAATAAATACTATGAAATCGCAATGTACAATTTTATTATAAACATGAGATATTTGTTACAATCTACATCGACGAGTACGAAGCGTATTCGTAATATTATTTAAGAGGCGGTGGTGGTCTTATACGCTGATCCTGTCGAGATCCTCTTGCCACCGGAGGGGCACTTGCGGGTTTTATTGATAACAGAGAGCCAAACAATACGTGCTGAATGACAGGAAATTTGGCGAGAACCTGACGATTAAAGTACATTACAAGTTTTTTAAAATCATGTATCGATACGACTGTATTTATTAACGTTGCTTAAGCGTTACCTCAACTTTGTACATTTTTATAAGGCCACTATTCACTTTGACCCACGATGAAACTGCACTAACATTCCACAGTTGATTTGAATGTTCAGCGAATGGACCTATTTTCACCTGAAAGAACGTTTGTTGTATTTGAAATACAAACAAGTTGTTTATCTATCAGTATTAATATTTAGTTCGTTAAATTGACAAATCGATATTGTTAGAGTCTGTGTATACACGAATGTTTTATGTGCACGTACAAACCTTTGAAATGAATTCAATACAGCCAAGGAACATGTATTGCTTGCTATGCGCTTCGACAATGTCTGAATCAACAAAATGGCGAGGTTCCAACCGGGGATGCCCTGAAATATTGATACTCAATATAAGCACATTCCTGTAATGATCTTTAATACAAACTAATAAGAGTGGAGAAGTAAAAGAATTACCAATTAATTGAGCACTTCCCCATACAAACGGAACAAATTGGTAATCGTCTAAGCTCCACACACCATGACTACCTGCTGGTTCCATTCTGTAAGTTAACTGCAAACTGCGTACCAATTCGAGGTACCTTCCAGAAAAAAATCATCTTAATTCATACACACAGGGTGCATATACATGTATGTATATACAGGGTGCAGCCAAATTCGTGGTACGAACATGGTATAAAAACAATGCAGACTTATTTTTGCACAAAGAATCACCCTGTACTCACTTATACCACAATTTCTTGCAGCACTCTGTATATACAGACAATGTTAAGCAATGTATAGTGTGCAAAAAGTATATTACCTATTAAATATTTTTACAACTACAGCAACTTTGTCATCTTGTTTAAAAGCACCAATTTTAAACATGCAGCACAAAAACATCAGAAATGCCATTTCGTGGCCTGTACCATAATCTATACGTGTTGGATTACCAAAACTTTCATACAAATACTGGACTATTTCTGGAATTGCTCTATGGAATTCACTTGGTAATATTTTATGCAATTCATCCATTCCACTCTAAAATATTATAAACAACATAAATATTTGTAGCTCCTTACTTTTTACAGTCCTTCATGCGAGATTTGTAAATATTTACCTGTTGGAGCTTTTCATGCCATACCCTAAAAGATTTATTGCCAAAACGTTGAGGCTGATCAGTTGGAGGTATCTGCGTTATCCATTCATCGAATACATTAAGCATTGTCACAACATTACCTATCACAGGACTATGAGCGCACTCAACGTTTAGTGCTTTTCCCTGAACAGACTCGTTTAAGGCCAATATAAATCCCAAGTATTCCTGTGAAATGATTTCATTGTAAATTTCATACATCAAAAGTTTTAAGAAATGCGTACACTAACAAATTCCAAGAAACTCTGAAACGCTGCAGAATTCAGAATGCATGGAAAATCGTGAAATTTTTATAGAATAAAACAAGTTCTTACAAAATATGCTTCAGACTTTTCCCAAATTGCCATATCAACCGGCACTTTAATAGACTTCTTCGGAATGACGAATTCATGTTCGTCCGCTAAAATATTGAAACCCAACGATGTTATTAAATATTACGGACTACTTATCGCCTATTGACAGAATACACACGTGATATCGGTACTTCTTTTCCACACTCCTTCGAAGTTGACATGGTAGTTCCTTGAGAATTCAACTTTCATTCATTGAAAAATCAGTATGTAATGTATTGACAATTCTTTTTTGGGTAAAAGAAGCGAGTTTTCTCGAATTATACACGTAGGAAGCTACGAAATAGTTGAGAGCTTCACGTGATCGCTGTTATATACCGGAGCTAAAATTTCACGATAAAAATTCGAGGCGCATACGAGGCTAGACATAAGAACATCAAGCTCGCACGCATATGATTCCGAGGCGTTTCCCAGAAACTAATCTTTTGTCATGGTTGAATTGTGAAGAAATAAAAATGAACGAAGGAAGGTACATGATCAAATTCTGTGGAGATCACGATTAAATTAGCGAATGATGCGCACGTATCTATTAGTACGATTACAATCAATTACAATAGCAGTTCAATTTTGTCACAGTATAAGTATTTATAACCAGTATGGTCACTCCGTGTCGGGCCCTTTGATGTCACCGTCGAAGAGTCACCATGTTGTTGGTTGTATAGCGCGGTCATATTTAAATTTTGAAAAAGCAGACAAGACCTATGAATCGATACTTTCATATTATATATATATAAGTAACCGCAACTCATATTTTCGTAATGAAATATTACAAAGTTGCAAATATAGTTGTCCTGTAAATTCGTAACGTTTTGAATTATTTATTTTTTAATATTTGAGTTTTTTTTGGTAAGAAATCATGAAATAGACTGACAGATCATTGTTTCTTTGTATGAGTATTCGGCATTTGCCAAATCCCTGTTCATCCCTACCATAAGACCGCGCGCAGTATCTGAATCTAGTGGATTGAATTGGGTAACCTTTACTTTTTTCCAAATGTCTTCGATCCACCGACCCGATTGGGGGCGCTGAGATGCCACCATGGCGGCCGAGAGTTTAGGGTGAACAACTGTTTGGTCCGTCAGTTATGGTTATCTGACATTAGGTTATCACTGTTTACAAAGAACGTACAAGAATCTTTATGCGGTCTGTATTTTGTAGGATAGTCGACTAAAGTGAATAGAAATATCCGGTCTCTGATGGGGAACGGTCAAATTCGTTGTGCAGAAAGCTCGAGGATCCTTCGGATTGTCAGGGTCGCTAGAAAGTGATATCGAAAAACCATGATTTTCGACTGCCTAAGATAACAGTGTCGTTTTTCCTTAAAAAAAAATCGAAGTCTCGAAAGTAGCGTAGCTATTTAATAATAGTATTTAGAACGTTTGTAGTGTAGACATTTCGTGTAAAATGGAGTGTAAAATCGACAACTTGCCAGATGTATTGTTGGAGTACATTTTGAGTTTGATTCCACCGTACAAAGATCTACAAGAATGTAAGCTTGTGTCCAAAAGATGGTTTCATGCTACTAACAGTGCGTAGAATTTTTTTATATCGAACCATTTAAATAAAATACACCCTGTGTACGTGTATGTAATATTTACAGTAATTTATGAAATGCTTATATTCTTTGATAGATGTAATACAGCATAACAAAGCACATTTTCAAAAATCCGTGGCTTGTGGATCGTTACTTTGGAGTCCGTGGCCATCTACACATTGGGTGCCTACTATAAGAAAAAGACACTCGCATTCTGCTTGCACATATGAAAATTCTATGTATGTTTTCGGGGGATGTACAGCGACCTGTACAACATTCAATGACTTATGGAGACTAGATCTGGATACACGAACATGGATCAGATTAATTACTATGGGGAGTTATCCATCTCCCAAGGCTTGTGCTACTATGTTATATTACAAAAAGAGCTTTATATTATTTGGTGGATGGTCTTATCCTTCACCTTATTCATTACACCAGGTATACACACCGCCGTTTAGAAAATTTGGAGCACCGTACTGTTTCTAAAAAATTTATTCTATGAACCAATGTTTATCCGACTAGTTTTAACCTAATTTCTTATATTTTCAGCAATGGAAATTATTCAATGAATTACATGTCTATTCTATAGAATCTAATAAGTGGGTTGTTGTGAATACGCTAGAAGCACCACCGCCGACGTCAGCGCATTCTGCATCGATTCACAAGAATAACATGATTGTTTTCGGTGGTATATGTAACGGATACAGGTAATATATTTTAACCGTCGAACGGCGGATGCTCGAGCATCGTCACGGTCGGCTAATGCGGGTCATTTTAACCCATAACAAAAGTTCCGATATATTTGCTTTAGGATAAGCTTTTATATTCCACTTTGAATTTATTATTTGGAGGAAATGCTTTTTGTTTTAATAATATCAAGATATATAAAGTGATTTACATTACTGCGATAAGATCCGATTTTTCGACAGTGGACTGTGCGTGGCATTCACCGGACGATAATTACGATAAGTTTCTCGACACGTTAATTTCATTTAATAACAAGAACATCATGTTATTTTTGAGGTAGATCCAATGACATATGGTGTTTGAATTTAGACTCGTATAGTTGGCACAAACAAACTACTTCCAACTTAAAGCCACAGCCGCGTTACGGTCAATCTCAAATTGAACTAGGAGATAATCATCTTCTTATACTAGGTATTTCTCTCATTACGACATCATGAAATAGATGTTTCACAAGCATTAAATTAATTATTAAAAATATCAGGAGGTTGTTCTGGACCTAATGTCGCAATGGACGATGCATGGCTGTTGAAAATGGAAGGCACAGCCTGGACATGGAAGAAAGTAAACATGCACAATACAGAATGGGCGCCAACCCGAATTTGGTGTCATCAAGCCTGTAAGGTAATAACATAAAATACAGTCGACAGTACCGTACGATAATCTGGATTATTTGCTATTAATAAACTCTTAACTTAACAGGTGGGAAATTATGTTATCGTTCTGAACATAAATAAATGCCCGAAAAAAACGAACGATACGAACGTATGGCTAAAAAAAGTCGCTAGCCAAAGAACAGCTCCGCCAAGCACTTGTGATTCTGCCCCTTTAAATGAAAGGTTCGACAAGTCTAATTATTGGCCCTATAATTCTAACATAATCCTATTATCACTTGTGATTTTTTATAAATGTTCACGAGTATATTGTTTCAGACAAGGAAATGTATCTCGTGCCGATAGAGATGTAAATGTTAATGGTCGGCATGGATCGTTTTCAAGAATCTCCGTGCAGAACGCACATTCTTCATCTCATCCTCCTAGTTTTATAAAAAGTTTAGCATTGTGCAATGATAGCGTTTTAAGTATGGCTGCCTTCCGCGACGAACCAGTGCGTAACGGTTCAAACAGCAATCGGCAACGTCAATTAGAATCCCTCCGGAGAATGGAAGAGAAAATACGAAATCGAAGGACGCAATCGAAAGCCACGAAAAGAACTGGAAATACACTGTCCATATTTGTATTAGATATTACGAATGTTTTGTGCGACGAATGCTCCGCTTCGTGGATTCCTTTAAAGCACAACAACCAATCAGGTCCCGACGAGAGAATTCTCTATTCTCTAGTTGCCGGTCGAGGTGAACTGATAGTATTCGGTGGCATTCGTAAGGAACATACGTCTTTGCAAAATCTCCCGGATATGGATGAGTCAGAGGTCTACAACGATCTTCATTTTATAAATCCGCCACGATACGTTATTTAATGTTCCGCAATAGAAAAAAAAAAAGAAAACAATACTAATATATTAGTGTTGCATCGAATTCAATTGTACGAAGAATACAGTATTTACTGAAGATTATTATTTCAACGTTGACAGTTCATGCAGTGCACTAGCATAAGAGAATTTTATAAGTATCATGTGATAAGTATTTAAAATGTTGATTTATTTTTTTTTTGAGAAAACGTCCTGTATGACATTTAATTAATTTTGGAAAAATGACAAGGATTTATGACACCGTTGGCTTTAGAAACAGTGTATATGTAATTATAAATTCCCCCGTATCTCATTATGAAATGATTTATTTACATGTTCTCCGCGCGCAGCGTAACATATTAAACTGCTTCATCGTCTTCGCCTTCGGCTGCTTTTAAACTACCGAACACTTGCGACGGTATCATTTGTTTCTCAACGGGTATATCTGAAAGTGAAAGAAAAAAAAGGTATGAAATTAAAAGACAAAGCATAAGATGTGTATGTTGCCATGAAAACGTATGCAGAACGACATATAAACGCATTACATGTGATCAAATGTAATAAAGGTCTAAGTGTGTTATCGCAGACTTCGATGTTACCTTCTTCAGCATCCGGCTCATTGTCATTCACATCGTCATCCATATCAATGTCTATTTCGTCCGGATTGTTAACCTGAGCTTCTGGTCTTCCATCTTTCTCCGTTACACCGCGGACGAATTTAATGCTGTCTTTATATGTAGCGGCATTATCTGCAATGTTACACGAATTCCATTAGCAAAGATAAATATATCGGAAATTGCGTGTGCCCGTTCCTGTAAATATTTCAATAAATCACCTGTGCTTTGAGCCCTGCTATCCAAAAGTCGCATAGCATCTACGGGCACGTCGGGAGGTGGATTCGACGCATTGTTCAACATTTGAGCAGACATCATGTTCACTTGAGTATTGTACATAGCCTGAACGCTACGTTTAATTCGGAGCATCTCACGCATCGTGTCCTCATTGCCGTGTCTCACCTCGAATTCTTTCCATATTTGCCAGAAATTTGAAGTTACCTAAACGAGCACGCACATGTGGATAAATTAGATTTTTTTTTCAAAAACATACTAGCCGCTGGGAATCATATATAACAAGTTAAATACGTATCCTGTTCAGATACAGAGAACAAGGAATGAAAGGTCAGAGATTTGAGGCTTTCACGACCCGGCATCGTACAGTTCTCACTGTTGAGGCTTTCGGGTGTAAGCCGTGTCCTTGTGGAATTGTTTTCCCAACGTTTCACAAGCGTTGTAGCTAGCTTCATCAGGGGGTCGAAGACACACTGACACTGGTGACTGGTGTACAGTATCAGTGTGTCTTCGACCCCCTAATGAAGCTAGCTGCAATGCTTGCGAAACGTTGGGAAAACAATTCTGTAAGGAATGAAAGGGTTTTATACTGTAGACTGATATTGCATACCCTTGGATCACAGATCTGACTACAATGCGCATATATTGCTCTTGCTCTGTCAACCTCTCCCAGCTTCGTTTCCATTTCTGCGAAACGCAGACACATTTCTCTTGTATTTTCTTCGTTAAGAACTTCGATAGCTTTCTCGTATATTTGCCGCGTTTTCGGAACACCGTATATGTCTGCTGCTTTCTTTATGTATATGTTGAACATCTGCAACATTACCAGTAATTTTTCAATCTTGTGCTACTTTTACAGAATTATCAGAACGTGTTTATAAATGATACAACTGAGTATAGTACCTCGAATCGTTCTTCAGGAAGAACAGCACTTGTTGCCCGTTCGTACACGGACATTGCATGTCTCGCTAAGCCGTGTTCTTCCTCCAATTTTGCATATAACAAATACAAAGCTGCAACAGAATACGATTGTTTTGTAATCAGTAGTGTATCAGCAGTTTCTTTGGTCGTCGATTACGTTAAATATATAAAACAATACCTTTAGCGTATTTTGGCGGACAATGTTCTAAGCACTGTTCAAACAAATCCCGTGTTCTCTCTAGTTTAGTGCCGCCATAACGTGCTAAGAACTTTGTGAGATACGTATTCCATATGTCATAAACATTGGGCCACTTGAAAAGCGCAATTCCCTTTTCGTAAGCCTATTAAAATTGGTTAAACATCACTTGCCACTGAAGCCGATTGAATTGCAATACAATTATTGTTGTTACTCACCCTAAACGCTTCTTCGAAATATTTATTCTCTTCTAAGAACAGACCGTAATTGATGATAATTTGCGGTGTAGCAATTTTTAAGTCTATGATTTTGTCGTACACTGCCTTGCATGTCTAAACAAACGATGTAAAATTTACAAATCGAGGGGTAAGCATTATAAAAATAGAATTATATTTTCACGTGTGAGGATTACCTTGAACGTTCCGAAACTTTCTTCCAAATCTGCATACATAGACCAGACTTTCAAAGATTTGTATAATCTCATTTGTACGGTTTCTGTTTCGTCGTGATACGCCACTTTACGGAATGGCATAGCAGTAGCTCGATGCATTAGTTTTAATGCTTCTTTATAATTCCTGTATAATTGCAGTTTGTTAATGTTTTTATCGATTGTCACAGTTTCGTGGAAAAACAAAAGTGTTACAGAAGCGTGCCATACCCGTGTCTGATTTCCATTTCTGCCCATTCGCACCATACAGAGGCGAGGTCATCGACTTTGGTGTAAGGAACATGGGTCGCTTTTTCGAAAACTACTCTGGCGTCCGTTATTTGTCCATTTTCTTCATAAAATTTACCAAATGCAACCCACAAAGTATGTAATTTTCCGACTGCCAATTGTGGTTGCACAGTTTGTACAGCTTCTGTGTATGTATTAATGATCTGAAATAATGAATAACTTTAATAAAACAATTCTTTTCTTATCAAAGATATTTTCTGATAAATCTGCGTATACTTCGTGTGGTTGTCCTTCGTAAAGCATAACTCTTTTATGCCACTCTTGTACATTGTGGGGATTTTGTCTAAGTAGTACAGAATTAAGTAATAACAATCGCCTTTCCATCAGGTGTTCGAATCGTGCTAATCTCAACTCCAAATCAATATCGTCTATAAATACAAAATTAGAATGTAAGAAATCATAGATTTTGCACAACATTAGTATGTATGTTTTTGTCTGTACCATCCTCAGTGGGGTTCTTTGCAGCTTCTTCCATGCGTTTACTGAGACTAAGTTCTTCGAATTGCGCATAGGCATCGAAAACTTGCGTGAAATCTCGAACAGTAGTCACTGTCTGTATAGCTTCTTCATAAATGTCTCTTGCCTATCAAAATAAGAATCTGGAATTATCTGATATAAGAATAAGATTGGTTTATATTTGGATGTAACAGGAAATATTTTAGTACCCTTTCAAATAAGCCACTGCGAACATAATAGTCAGCCAAAGAGTTCCAGAGAGGACCTAACTGATCGGTGTAACGTCTCAGACCACCTCTGATTATAGCATCTACATTAAGAGACTTTATTTTCGAAGGATTCTTCGATATTAAATCACACAATTCATTCCATAATTGATGGTTCGATTTTCCATGCTTCGAGACAAAATCATCTTGATTAACGATTTGTGCAAGTTTTACAGCTGCTTCATCCAGTCTTCCGATAATGTACATTATCTAAATACAAATCAATAAGATATTAAATTTCATTGCTTCTGTATGTATACATACTTTGAGGTATCTCCTAAAAACTCTTACAGCAGTTTCATATACATTGTGTTTCTTTAGGAATTCAATATAAAGTGGCCATATACGATGATGCTGTGTGATAGGAAGAGCTCTAAGCGCTCTGTCAAACACTTGTCGAGTACGAGTAATATAACATTGGTCTGTCATTAATGTGCAATAATCCATCCAAATCCGAGGCATTTTATGCATAAAAACTAGTGCACGCTCGAATGCATTATTTACATCTTCGTACAGTGGATCTGTTATAGACCTTCCTTTTAATTGACTTACACGCTGACGTAGATAATTGTACCATAATTTGTAACTGATAAAAAGCACAATTTTATTATTATTTAACCACCTATTTAAAAACTTAATAACAGAAGTCATACCTTCCAGGGAGTTCCTTTAGTGCCCTCTCATATACAATGTTTAAGTTACTGCTTTTTGTACTTTTTAAATGATCTATGTAACGTTGCCAGTGTTTTACAGAATACGGATTCCTTAAAATTTCTTCCTCATATGGTAAATCCTCTTCATTCTATGTGGTAAAATAACATTTAAATAAAGAAACTAACTTAATAGGAACATAAGGTTAACAGCGATGCATGTACATACAAAAACGTATAAGTTCCCCTCCGGGTCTTTGCGTTCCAACATCATTGATGCTGTTAATAAATACTGTATAATTTACTTAATTTGATCGCAATGGTAAATCAACTGCGTTCCACATATACAATTAAATATTCAAATAAAAGGTTATCCTTTGTTTTGATGCACTTTTGCACTAGAGATGGCGTGAAAGAAGACAGAATAAATACATACCTAGGGACGAAGTAATTGTGAAAAGTACCACATTCTAGAGAAGTCTGGTGCTGCAAAGAGACCGTGGAATATCATATCGTAAGATAAAGTTTTCATTTCAGCTAGTGATTAGTGATTCTCGCAAGGAAGAAGCGGGGTGGACAATTAATTTAACCATAGGTTAACGTTCGGATTTGTTTAACGGGGAATAAGCTTATTCGTTAATAGAGTCACTCAAAAATAACTGAGAAAAATTATCTTTCAAATCACAATATAGCAAGGAAAGATTCTGAATAATTAAAATGTTTTTTTACTTTAAAGGCTTACAAAATAATAACCACTGTGAATACGTTCTAGAAATAGAATGATCAAAGTCGTAAGAGACCGTCCGACTTATAGAATAATTTGGTAAAAAGTATTTACCTGAAAATTAGGTTGCACAACCTGTTTACCTCGTTTTTGGAGAAGACACTGCATCGTGACAGCTGTCATATTAGGAATGTGATCGTGATTGATAAATGTTAATGTAAACAATTTGACCGATGTCTGCGTCGTCTGTTTCAAAGATAAAGTAGTCGGATTTGACGTTTAAATCGCATTCAGATTAATTGCGCTCAAACTGTTCTTACAAATAAACGTTGTAAACGATGACAATGGGCGATGAGACTCCAGTTGCATCACTGGTTCTTCCTGTAATTTTAAGGCCGATATTAATGAAGGTACTTTAAATCTTCCTGAATTCATTCGGTGCATTCGCGGTGTAGAGTATATTAACAAGAAAAAAATAAGTTCATCAAAAGATAATGGTTTTTTGTCATAAATTAAACAAAATATGATGTGTGTTTGTTTCATGTTTCTTTGCTCCATTATAGCTAGAGAGACAAAATGTATTGGCAGCTCAAACTTTACGCACAGCTTTATTGAAAGCTGAAAATTCTCATCCAGGGATCACACATGATTTCATTCTTGGTATAATTAGACGGGCAGAACTTAATCTTGATATGAATGAGAGTGTACTGAGATTGCAAGGAGCTGCTTCTGATTATGATGGTACACCGATATCAAAATTCAACAATATATTGATAATTTCTTGTAATTATATAAGATACTCGAGTTTCCATATGTTGTAATTACAGTTGTGGAATATAGATCGGCTAGATCTGAAGATGCTTTTCAAGAATTAAATCGTAAATCAACCTCGTTGAAAAGAATACTTAGCCGAATTCCTGATGAAATAACAGATCGTAAAACTTTTCTTGAAACAATAAAGTGTGTATTTATATACTCTGTTAATATTAAAATTTCTTGTTACTTATTTATTGTAATATTTTGTTAAACATTTTTAGGGAGATAGCAAGTGCAATAAAGAAACTCTTAGATGCTGTGAACGAAGTCACTGCATTTATACGTGGTTCTGCAGGGAAGCAGGCACTAGATCAGAGGAAAAGGGAATTTGTTAAATATAGTAAACGATTTAGTAACACATTGAAAGAGTATTTTAAAGAAGGACAGTAAGTACTTGTCCCCGGTTCGAAATTTATAATAATTTCGATTATAGTATCGTTAATTAAAATTTATAATCTTTACAGAGCTAATGCAGTATTTGTGAGTGCACTGTACTTAATACATCAGACAAATATGATAATGCTCACAGTAAAAGATAAATGTGAGTAATGAATATATAATTGTAAAATTGAAGAGTATGACACTCTTATGATAACAAAGTTACTTGTAACTATTATAAAGTATATAAATATAATAATTTTATTGATTTTGTTATGTATTTGATAATAGAATTTAAATGTCATTTAATATAAAGTATATAGCATTATTATTTTATATGTATTAAAAGTGTTATAACACCATTATACACACATGAAGTCATAAACATTTTAAAAACATCTAATAAAAGATATGAATGTTATCTTCATTGTATCTTTTTATTATTTGATACAGTTAAATTATAATTCTTATTTAAAGGTAACTGAGGGAGAAAAGATTAACATCTGAAAACAAAAATAAAAGCGGGAAAAGATTTCAAATACGGCAGACGCTTCTCCAAATGTATAAGAAATAAAAATTACTTTATTGATAACAAATGTACACAAATGTGTTGTATATTTCCCATTTGGAAAATTGAATGGCTTGGCTATCTACATCCTCATTGTATTAACAATGACAATGAGTAACAGTAAGGGTTAATGGTAATTATTGTAATGAACATTACTGGAAAATGTACAAATCTTCAAGCACGTTTGCTATCTGAGAATGCTCGTACAATACTGCCAACGCCACTGATATTGTACACCTTCTCGTGCCAGATTAATAAATGACTACTGCTACCTTCAGTGGGAATTTCAAATCCCCGATAAATATATTTCATTAGAACGTCCAGTAAGTCTCGATCTAATTGTGTTAGGCAGTCGTCTATTTGATTTGATTTTATACTTAAGAGAACCTTGAGAGTTAAATTCCGTGCATTGTCCTGTAACATTTACAGATTCCTTTGTGTAACATGTTAATTATTTGTAGTCTATGAAAATAATGTAGTGTGATCATAAAACTGACCTAAATATGGTTCAATGCATAAGGCTCTGTAAATTGTTCTAGCTTCGTGCCTCAAAAGGATAATAATGGTAATTAACAACACTGCTTTTGCTAGCAGTGTTAATGTTTCCTTTTATATTTAAACAATTATTCGTGTTTAACATAAGTTAATCAATTTGCTACCAGCATCACATATGTATGACGCTCCAAGTTCCATGTCTGCATACTTTCTTAGATAAAAAAGCATAGTCTGTCACGAACATTTTCGAAATAATATGCTGGTAGCGAACTGGTTAAATTGAATCTTAACTTAATGTATTATCTTTAACGAGAACCAAACACCCTTTATACCTTGTGTTTCTTTCAATTCTTTTGTCTTAATGTTTGTAACATGGATACTTCAGTTTTTAGTCAATTTTACAATCACACTACATCTCTTCCATCAAGAAAATTGCTAAAGAATAGGAGCCTGAACAAAATTACATGACTGATGTCTTCGCATCAAATAAATCAAATTTTAAATTATATTAAAATACTAAAATTATAAACAACAAATATGAAAAAATAAAACATTATCATGTAACACAATGTTGATTTTATGTAACAAGTGTGAATATAATAATTAAAACGTGTGACAGCTAGGTTACCTTTACTTGTTGATTTTTACACTCAAGCGGAGCAGACTTTAATACTGAAATCAAAGCTTCGGCACTCTTACCCTTGTATAAACATTAAGGAAAATGCTTAGAAATGTAACAAAAAATATAATATTAGTATGAGTTAATGTAAGAAAGATAGAAAGGATATTGGCTAAGAAGTGTCAAAACTTCATTCTCGTCTGGACCAGTTGGTCCTCCTAATCCTCCGTCAGCGTCTTCTTCTTTGAAATTATTATCGTTGTATTGATCTACGTCAATTTTTCGAAATGCAGACGCTGACGAGTCCTTTTTGCCGTCGTTTCTTGACATTTTGATTACGTGCTTGACGTTTCAACCGTGATCACGCCCGGCTTATCATCAACTAACGCTTCAGAATGAGTTTTCATTGGACTTCGAATCTCGGCTTAAGATGTTTTCTATTTTCAGTACGTTCACTCATGAGTAATCGCCTTACTGTTCTTAAATCTAATGCGAATTACAAATTGGATACAATGTTAGCACGTTAGGGGATCTGTAATTTTGTTTATTAATTAGAATAAGTGTCTCAAAGAAATTGATGTTTTAAATATACTATATTATACTTAATATTTTTACTATTATAGAGATTATTAAAAAAGGTGCATGATTCAGGCGATACAATTTATGTATCTGGTTTTATCTAGCACGTGTGTTTTATTACTTGAAATTATGATTGCGTACTGATAATATAAAATAATATAAATATCATTTTGCAATTCGAAGTTTACCGTTTATTGCTGCAATCTCAATTTGTCATTTAATAAGTGATATTAAAAGAGGTTAACATAATACAGCGATACTTTGTATATATACAAGTAATGTATTTTTTGTTTTAACAAATCTAATAAAATTATGAGTTACCCAAAACTCATTAGTAAATTATACACACCAAAAATATTTTGGTATCAAACTGATATTACAGTTATCGTACGTATTTTATTGGAAGATGTTGATAAATATTTTCTACGTGTCGTATGTGATCATTTATCATTTAGGTATTTATATAAAAATTATGTATTAATTATCTCTACAAAATGTAACGAAGAATACTGTTTTTAGTACTACAGTAAATGAAAGAGGTTATTACGTTTCCTTGTACCTTTTTGGGACGGTAGTGGCTGAAAAAACAGTTCATGTAAATTTAGGGAGAGAGATAAAAGTTACTCTAGTAAAGGCACATAAATGTAATGTTTTTACATTCTATTTGCATCTATTTTTTACCTCATAAATTTATGCAATTTTTGTTCCATCATTTAATAGGGACAGAATGGCTAAGATTACATATTGAAAAGGAAAAAAATCCTTTAATAGTACGAGATCCAGATCATTTGGACAAAAATGATTGGTTTAAGGTATCTCCAAAAATAGGTAATTATTAACTAATATAAAATAGATTATTTGTTACTAATTGACAATAACAATTTAAAGATTGTTATTTCCTATCAAACAATATATAATCTGACAAAAATCTATTTTATCACAGAGAAAGAAAGTTTTGCAGAATATAAACGTAGAAATAATATATCACAAATAATGCCAGATGTACCATCTACCGATGAGGAAGTGTCTGATGATGACGCAATGGACATGTTATTTCTTTGACCTATACTAATTTTATGCTAAGTTTCTTCTTAAATAGACTGTATTATCCAAAGAAATTTTTTATTAATTCACTTACAAATGAGAGTAACATACATACAAATTGCTTTTCATAAAGTATAAAATCATTTAAACAATACTTAATATAACATCCAACAATATACATTCTATACAGTTCACTAACATAATCAGTAAAAATAAATTCATTTTAACAGCACACAATAATTTTGTTTATGTACAACAATACAATACCATAATTACAGAGAAGGAATTTGGAATAAAAGGTTTAGTATTCTGAAATATTCATACTACTGTAATTGGGTTGTATAAATATTTTGTCTACAACATAAGTTAATTATCTTTTAATGGCAGCTTTATTGAGCATTGATAGTTGTTCCAGAGAATAACTTACATGAGCCAACAATAATGTTTACATCATATGTATTCATATATACAAAATTTCTTGACAAGTACAGTTTACACAAAGACAATAATTGGAATGTTTTTATGCTGTGTTTACTGTGTACAATACGAGTTACAACAAAGTTGAAAAGCTTCGAACTAAGAACAGTATGTTAGTCACTGTCCTTCATTAGAAATGTTGCTTCTTATCTTTGGCAATGTGTAGTACGACCGTCTTATGAATAATTGCATGCAATGGTTCTATATGAGGCTATGAAAAGAATATTGTCTAGCAAATAATATGTGTAATGTGTACTCAAAGATGAACAAACGGTGAATATTAGAGAGTGTAAATTAAAATTATCAAATACTTCTGTTAGTAGCTTTCGAGACGAAATTGAAGTACAGTCAAGTAATTGTTAATAAATATGTCATTATTAGTGCCTCGATAATACTACATAGCACTGCCTTATGAAGTACACAAGGAGTTATAACATTTTTATCATTCGCTACCGTTAAATGCTAAAAATCACAATTCGGTACACCTATATAAAATTATTTTGGTCGTAAATTAAATTTTATAACAATTATATTTATACATACTGCACGAGGTTTCTACTAAACTTGTCGATTTCAATGCAAAGTACATACGAAATGCAATTACTTACACATATGGTAACATTTTCGAATTAAGAATCTATAACAAGCACTGTAAATAAAAAAATAAAGTCATATAAATAATTAGTTTTACATGCACTTTTGATCTTTCAAAGTTTGGTAATGGTGAATCGTTTATTTACTGAACATGCTTTTTTTTCTATATTACTATGTCTTCGCTTCATAAATTAAATAGTTGCTCTATATTTAGAAAACAATACTGTTATCAAAATAATAGATCTATTTACAACATGATTTAAATAAAAAGGGGTCTGCCGGTGGGTATAGTAACAAAATATATCTGATAATGTATTTGCATTAAGTTTTAAATATAAATGTTGAACGTGGCCACAGCAAATATATTCGTTAAAAGGAACATCAACGCACGTGCTGTTCTATATGCTTCGCAGCAATTGCAAAAACAACAAGTAGTTCAATTGTAACAATTATAATCATTTAATAAAGTGTCGCACCTTTTGTTCTATCGCCGTGTTTATTCAAGTCTACGGATTGTTTTGTATATATTAAATATTTCTTCTGAATAACTTGTTTGCTTACGCTTGATTAGCAGCCTTCTAGCGAAAGCCTTTGATTTATATTCTCGACCCTTATCTTCATTTCCCTGAGTACATCTTCGGCTAGATGATCGACGTCGGTGTACCTTACTTTAAAGAAATTAAATACATCTACGAGGAATTCAACGACTTGATCCCTGAAATAGTGACAGGTGGAACGTAGGTTTCCTTCCGAGCCTAAGAAGCCCCAAGCAAGTACTGGAGAGACTTGTTCGGAGATCGAATAGAAATGTGCCAGGAACCCTTTGTCGTACTTCAACATTTTTCTTTTGCTAACAAGGATCGACCAAACCGCAGTGCCGATTGCCTTAAAACGAACGATTAACGATATAAAATAACCAAAATCACGACACAAACGTGACTGACCACTCTTATGTTCAAGTACTCACGGTTTCACAGAAACTAGCCGATATCCATCGGTTCTGCGTGAGAGATTTAATCGACGACGGCGGTTTCTCGATTTCCTCGAACGCATCCAACAGAATAAAGTCGATAAGAATATCGTAGAAGTTAATACATTTCACGCCTTTCGCCGTTAACTCTTCCTCCATAAGACTTTGACTCCGTGGCTCTTGCAAGAACTCCATCATCCGTTCGTAATGCGTCAAGTAATCCTTAGGATCCTGGACATTGGAAATTGATATTGTTAAAATATCGACTGCGATTTGTTTGTAACGTTTATAATTTTCCCTAGCGGAAATAAATGATGCATGTTGTGTATACCCTGTCTGCATACATGATCAAATCACTAATGACTTGTCGGCCTATATCTTCGATCCACACTTTGGCGGTTGGTATAGTGAACAATTTAGTATACGCTTGTCGCAAACAATAAACTTTTGCTAAATATTCAACGTCTGAACCGCACTTAACCAGTTCCGTGTGCAGTCGCCTATTGGAATATAACAAATTAGAAAATGCATCGCACAATACACTGCGTAAAAAGGAAAAAAAAAAATAAGAATCTCCTTTACCTGCAAGGAATACCTTTATCCTCGTGTTGTTTGAGGGCAGTGTGGTAAAGTTTTTGTTTCTCGAAGTGCGGGAAAAACTCGGAAAATTCCTCGAATTCCCGTAAATCTGCCACCTAAAATATTTCACAGTTAACAACGGACAAGTATCGAATATTAATTAACATACATGGATTGAAATTCAGAGGTTCAAATTGTTTTCAATAACTTACGCCGTCGCGCGCAGACTCGAACGACTCAGGCGATGACGCAGCGTCCGCTTTGTCTTTTCCGGATATCCGGGTACTGATGTTCGATGGCTTGTGGCTTTCAACGCTCTCCTGGCTGTCGTGGCGAAACAGTACCGAGTGCTGCGGACAGTATTAAATTTGATTTCATTTTGTAACAGCTTGTAAATTCGCTTTAAATCGATTAACACTGCGTAAGGGGGGTACGATAAAAAAAAATGACGTCTCGTTTTCTTGCAATTAAAAGGAAAATCATTAATTGACCGACACCCCGTTGTCAGGACACGTAAGAATCTTTTGTCATTGTGAGTACATAGTAGACGCACCGTGGGCTTAGATTCAAACAACCAACGGTCCATGGTGCCATGAACTTCCTATGTAATAATTCCTCCTTGCGTTAGGTCAAGTGACTCATTCTGCTAATTGCCACCGGTCAGTTATCATTTAAATTGGATTAATTCTCAGATATTTTTCCTTCTTATAGCAGAAAATGTAACTGATGAGTGCAATGGAATGGAATGACAGCGAATGCAGCGTCGGACGAAAATTTCGCGGGACAAGAGAAAGAAAGAAGGAAATAAAAAAAGACAATATCGAAACAAGAACCTCACCGGCAACATGGAGAAATTCGCCCATAGTCGTGATTAAAACCGTTAACGATCAACCTACTTTCTATGCATCTAGGTATCTCGAAATAATCGTTTATAACGAACTGTTAAAAAGAGGATTCGTAGCGGTTCGGTGGTTGAAAACTGTTCACCGTGATAAACACAAGCTTCGCGGTATAACGATATAATAATTCCGAGAGTAACGGAGATTCGCTTCGGTAAACAAAAAATGGAAAGAAAGGAAAACACTGGGGGGAGGGGAGAGGGGAGGGTGAGTAGTAAACCGATCTTTTGCTGCCTTACCTGGTCGATAAAGAGGAGTTCCGCCTGGCTCTGGATTTGATAACCCATGTCAAGAAGGTCCTGGACATCGTGCGTAAACGCCGCATCCGCCTTGGACGGTAATGCGAGCGTGTCATTACTGAGAGAAGAGCTGAACGCGGTGAGCGCATCCTCCCAGCAGTAAAGAGCCTTTTCCAGCGCCTCCAGTCCTGTATCGTTAAAAGTCAGGGATCATTTTACGTTTGTCAATTTTCATTCCATCCCCAGAGGGGGCGGCACACGTGCCTCTCGTGTCGCTAATAATGAATTCGGACTCGGGTTAATTCGTTCTCGGAAACCCCTTATTCGTACGACGAGAGGAAAGAGTTCCAACATACGAAATTTAGCGATTCGCATTCAAAAGTATCGATACGTATTCATTTTTTTAGTATCGATGCATATAATATATTGGTCAGGAAGTATGGATATTAAAGCATATCGATACAATATTAGTAGAAAGAATAAATCGGTAAGAAAATTATCCCTTTTTTCAATCATATAAAATCAAATAGAACACTCGTTAACGTATTATGTTTTTGTGTACATTGCGTTCACTTGTTTTTTGTTTTAAAAAACACGTAATTAAAACACGGGGAGTACCGATAGAACGATGTATCATTGCCTAAAATATCGATATTCATGAACTGATATATGGATATTTACGTGTGTCGACATTGTATCGGGCATTGCTAGCGCGAGCAACAGTGACTAAACATACATTTATATTCATATTCTGATCTATCGAATTGAAGGTCTATCTATCTATTGGAAAAGTGAGGATGAATTCACGACTGAAAAATCCTCTCGCGCCGTAGAAAATAATTTATCGGTAAATCAAGGTTAGATCTGCAGGAATAATGTTACACTTTATCGACGTTCTGAGATACATCCGTTACGGTTCCTTCACGGACGAAGGAAAAGTGAAATCCACGAGTAAAGGACAAGTGTACCCCCTCCTCTGCTCTCGAAGGAATTAACAGATTAATTCAAGCGCTGCGCAATTAAGATTTCAAACGTCGCCTCCTTCGACGAGGAGGACGTATACACAGTTTTCTCTGTTTACTGCTTTCGTCAACATAATAACTACGTTCTCGATCCCTCGAACGTGTTACACAAATTCAAACGTATCGTCTCTTTGATCTTTATTGCGACTCGTTCCCGTTTTCCACGTTTTATCATTATTGATTGCTAACACTGTTGCATAAACGATTAAAGTGCTTGTGCCGTCGAACAGATGTAATATGTATTTTTAAAACAACTCTATACATCACTGTCAACTTGGAAGCAGCAGCGCGTCAAAGTTAAGGAAAATTTTCAACTGTGTCATTTAACGCACTAGCCGTACACGTAAATACATTCTGAATGTCAACGCAAAAAATTACCAAAAAAAAATCGTCTTTTGAATTCATGTTTTTCATCTTTCGCTTGTTCGATATGACCTTTCAACTATAGTTCATAACTGTTCCTGTGTTGGTAATCTTGGATTTAATGCTTGTACCGAGTAGTGTACAGATCGAGCGATTATGTATACATAGAAAGGGATAGACTTTCACTTCCTTCTCAGTTTAGGCACCGTTCTCGAAGCTATCCACGGGCGACTCGAGAGGTCCTCTCGTTTTTGTTTACACTGTGAGGTTAAGTGTCGTCACAGAACTTTCTATGCGATAACTGTTTTTCATAACTGGCTTTTTTCCCCACACGATTTCTACACTCGTTCTGGTCCATCCACAGAGAGGTATTGATTTAGTAACGACTCGGAACATATTCCAAAGCCTCGGAATTTCGTAGTGATCCATCGTGTAACCGGCGTTATATCAACCTCTCGCATACGGTAAACAAACTATACAGAGGCTCGTACGTATGTTTAATTTTTTATTGTCCTATATCTTCCAATCGACGAACCAACGAACTATCAACCATTTATTTGTCCACTAAACCATTAATCGACTTTGTAAACTCTGAATATCAAATAAAAAAAAAACAGTTTTCGTTAAGCTGGACGTTAATTCGTACAATAATTCGAGTAGTACATATACCTCGAAACGTTCGAGTGGTCGGCTCGACTTGCTTTTCTCCGACCAACTCTATCCCAGACGGGAAGAGGAAACGACGTCGCGACTCGGTACTTGGCACTCGCACAAGTGGCAAAGGCAAGTTCAACGTCTGATTTTGCAACGGCAGAAGATTTACAAATGAGAGACCCTGTGTGTGCTTGGCTGGCGTGTCCGGACAGTCAGCAGAGAAGTAAAAGGGGTTGAGAGAGCGAGCCTACTTAACGTTGTCACTGTCGGCAGGATTTAAATTCCGAGTCGGTGACGACATTTCGTCATGTTCAACGTTTCGTTCACTTCGTTTCTGTTTCGGTTCCCCGCGCAGACGAAACAAATCGTCGAGGACGGAAGTCGAGAGTAGCTCGTATCAATTACGAAGGATAATCGTCTGAAAGGTGTGTCCATTATTTTCAATCTGCGACAAGAATAAACCTCGCACCTACGTCAGTGCACTAAATGCCAACCGACATCTCGTTAACACGATGCGACGGAGTGCATACAGAGTGATGGGTCCGTGAGCAAACAGGTTCGAATGTATTATATTCATATATGTATATGACGAAAAGTTCATCATCTGGATCGAAACACAGTTCGATGTTGTTCGAACTTTTCGAATGTGTACTTATACGAACATTTTCGAACTGAACGTGAACACTTCATACGTGTACGGCCAACGTGGGGCAGGAAGGGTGAGAATGAATGGGCCGTTTCCCTTCGATCGGAATTTTGATTTTTATTTAAGGCCGTTTTAACTGCCACAGTCCCTGTGAAGGGGGATATGCACGGAGAGGAGAAAAAATATGCGCAACAGAGGGAGCGAAGATGGGGTGTGTTTGCCAGTGACGTACCTATACAAACGTGAATCGAATCGATTGTTGGCAATACATCGAAATGATGCACTGGATAATTCTTTTTAAAATCAATTATTATTGTGAATAATTACTTACACCGTAACTATCACGTGTACGCAGTATTTTATACCGATGTCCAATAAATCATACAATTTTAAACAAGTTGAATGACAGCTGATTAAAAAAGGGATGAGATTACACGACAGAACAAACGTAATTCATTTGAGCTACAAAAGGAATCGGGTTTTAATCTTTCAACTCTTACGGCTCGGCGCCGATGGTCGTTATTCTTTCCGTAACGATCGAAAGCCGAACGATTCGAAACCTTTACCACAAAGCGCCGTTTAATTGCTCGCCCGGGGGAAATAACGAACCGAAGCATTCGAAATAATAAAGAAAACGTATTCAGAATTTTCTCGTACAGAATCCGTCCCGCCTGCAATCGGTGCATAAAAGTCTTCAATACAAAGTAGAATCTCGGCCGGATAACCTGAAAGATGGCACGAGAGACTCAGTCCTTCAAGAGTCTTTTATTCAAACCTAATTGAACCGAGTGTTCTTAACGCATTGTTCGCTGGGTAGATTTCCCAACCAAACAGAACCTATAAATACAAGGAAGCAAAATTTCAGTTTTAATTCCAATTGCCGCAATCCACATAATTCTAGAATTTAAACAATTCAGATACAATGTCAGAAGCGTCATGTGCTATCTGGGCAAAATACTTGAAAATAAATACATTAAAAGTGTCGATATTTACCTATCGGGATACGTGACAGAACCATCTACGGGGAAATGAGAAAGGAACAACTAATGTATGTATCCTATTCCGATAAATGAAAGTTCATATGGCAATTACAATTTTATTCCATAATTCGAATGTACGTAGCTTGTATCGCTGCAAGTAGGATTGAGAGGGTTAACGAAGAGACCACGCGAGTCTTACGGAGAAGAGACAGCCTTTCATGGGGCGACCAGCCCTCGAGAATTCTCTCTTTCTTGTCATCCCCCGTGTTAGAGGAGAAAGACACCCAGGAATTGAATCCAGCACTGCGATGCTGCCGCCGCGCTGCCGGATGGTTGGCGTCAATAATACCGAAGTGACGTAATCCGTTTCGAGGTTCGTTATTGGAGGATGTGTCATCCAATGGGGAGGGGTCGATACGGCAGCTGGGAGGCGCGCGCGGTCTCAAAGTGTGCTCCAGGCACGCGTTGCGGCATCGCGCGGTTTGTCGCGGTGGCTAGTGCTCTTCTGGAACCCCGACGAGTCAGGTCGTGTAGGAGAACGATACACATACACGCGCGGAAGAAAAAGAGAACCGTAGACGAAACTGCCAAGAGGAGAAACGAGGACCGTCAAGTGAGAGAGTGAGAGAAAGAGAGAGAGCTATATACCAGCGCGACAGAAGAAGGGAGAGGGTGGGACACGCACTGGGTCCTTCGCGGCTGGCGTCAGTTATTCGGCTTGCCGGGTCTAGTGTGCATGTAACTCCGAGGATCTCACGGGCCGTTGACACACACGCGGGGATTTACTAACGAGTACTGTTTCGAATAAAAAAACAAACAAAAAAACAGACAGGACACCTAGTGCCACGTATACCCCTTGATGCCAGTATTCGGACGTTAGTCGGATTTAAGATAATGCAATAGTAAGTACGACTGTTTCTCCTACTCTATGGTTATTGAACACGTCGTGGCCGTTCGGTGAACGCGTTTTATCATCGTAACAGCACAATTTTTCGAAATGTATATCTTGCTCGCATACCGTGTGTCGTGAATATTAGTTTTCGTTGCGTTTCGAAATCCCCAGTGACTTTGAATTCTGTTGAAAATTGTGTGTTGCTCGTCGACTGAACAGGGGTTAGGCCTGCACGACGGTTGGAAAATTCGTGAATTCTGTAACGGGACATAAAATTGATTTTAAAATAACCAACGTTTCAGTGGACACATCGATTCTGACCACGTATCGGTTGGCCAATCGTGATATAGAGGGAGGGAAACGATGAAATGGTAGATTCCAAAATATTGCGTAATTCGCCAGGGGGGAGGGAGATAACGAAAGGTCGAAGGATGTGTAACAATGTGTCTCGAGTTTTCAGCGATGATATTTTCGATTCTGTGTTTTTGGGATATCGTTCCGGGGATCCAGGTATAAGTTCTGTATAGGTCAAGTTCAGGGGTCAATACCTCGTACCCGTTGAATCTCGAATAAAAGTGAATGCCGTAAATGTAGCAAATAGGCACCGCGCGCGCACCGGCAGATCGATGGAGGTGCCTGGTGCGCTGGTGAACTTGGAAATTTCCCTAGCACACGCGCACTTCCTGCAACTGTGATATTTGCGAACACGATGTATCCTTGCTCGTGGCAACCGTCGCGACGCTTTTATTAACCCTTAAAGATAAGAAGTGATACAAAGGTATCGTTGTTACATATCCGACAAAATTATTTCACGTTTAATATATATGTGTATATATATATATTAACACAGAAAACTGTGCGAACTGTCGAATAAATTAATCCTTGAACAACATTAAAATCGATGCAACATAAAGTATATAAATGAAGTAGTAGATTTGAAATATACAACCGCTATAAAGATGTTAAAATATTCAGGAATACGAAATAAACTGCTTTCAACGAAACGATTGAGCATCTCGATGATCAACAAGGTAATCAACATCCTGTAACGTCAAAACCTGTTTTAGAATAAATATGTATTATAAATGAATTGCAAAAATAATACTTATCGTATTATGTTTTTTCTTCTTCATGGTGTTGATTTAACTTAACCTTTGAGATGCACAATTTGTAAATGTTAAAATAACGTAAGCGGTTTTGTAACAATTAATACAAATAACATAAGAACACTGGTGCATATTAATGAGAAAGTTTTCATCTGTTCGTGAAATTTTAAAAATATTTTCAATTCGTATGCCCCGCCGTTTATAGAAATCTTAAATGGTTAAAAACGTATAATAATCGACCCTACACGTAAACGGGATCGCCGACGCGGATAATTGAACTGTACTCACGTTCGATTCAGTTAACGAACATGTACCGGTATAGGGCGAAAAGGAAACATAATCGCGCGTCCGCACGAGACACACCTAACGAATAATATCCTAATTAGACACGGATACGATTACGATCTACTACCGTTTTCATAACCATAATACCGTTCATAACATCCCTATTCGAATCGATTAAGAATAAATCGAACCAATCAATATAAATGAAACACGAGAAAAGAATATTTAATATTAGTACATCAAGCGTACTATTAATTTTATTAGTGTATTCGTATAGATTGAGATTGTTAATATTAATATAATTGAACATTACAATTCTGTTCATCTCGGTCTTTATGCACTCACAGAATATCCGAATGCTCGAAACACGATAAAACGAAGATCCCAAAAATGTTCGACAAAAACTGTTAACCCTTTAAGTGTTTTCTTTCATTTTGAAAATGTGCATTTGCGTGCTTAATTATGTTTAAGCCATGAAAAATTTAATAAATTCTAATAGAACGACAAAATTACTCTTACGATACGAGCATCTACCTATTGTCAAAAAAAAGTAACTGTTTTCTTTCTTTTCTATATTTGTCCTAAAATATTCTAAAATGTGTTAAAATTGCCAAAATGTTTCTTGTTTTATCTATATTTTAATTTAAAAAGCAAATGCAAATGTTTTGCTTAACGACTAGTATACTCGATATACACATCGAAAGGGTAAATATTTTTTTTTTGAAAATTATTCTGTAAAAATTCGAATCTACACAAAATCCCTAATCCTAGTAATTATAATCGAAAGGAGACTGAAGACTTTATACCCAATTAGCGATAAAATCGTAATAAGGTCCGATCCTCAAACGGCATCGAAGTCACGATTCGAATAGTAGAGATTACAAATTTCACAGGATTCCCCGCGAAGAAAGTTTCGATTCGTAAGCGTTCGAGAGAGGCAGGATGGGGGGGGGGGCTCTACAATCAGGGGCGCCAATCTGTTAAACCGTAAAACTTGGGAAAGTACGGTGCAGAAAGGAATTTATTAATAAAACCGTCGGGGTGGGGAGGGGGCGGGACCTTTCGAATCGATAGCGCGCGAACCCACTGGATAGCGGCTAATACGCGTACGACCTGTCGATAGATGCAAATGTCCACGGGTAATAAACTAGATACACGACATGATACCGTGTCGGTTATTAGGTAATAGTGGATCTCTCCCCATTCTTTGTCGAGGATGCTCCGACCCTGATGAGGCTAATAAAAGTGACATCATTATCGCTCCACCGCCAACGAGCTTTTAACCTACGATGGCTGTACGCTCTGATTTTCATAATCTGGTTCACATCATCGTTGCCATCTCCCAACCCCATTTTAGCTCTGTGTCGGTGCCACTCTCTCTCTCTCTCTTTTTTCTACCATAGCCACTGTTCTCTGTCGCGACAAAGAACGCACGGAATGGAAACAGGCTTTTACGTCCTTCGAAGTTGTTTTTCGCGTGAAAACACCTGGTACATACAATGGACGCGTGTTGACGGAAGCGATGCGGTCGTGAAACGAAGCGGGGAGAGCTAAAGTGCTCTCACGTTTAGGGTATAGAGACACTTGGGACGAAAGAATTTGCAGACGTTCGTGAAAGTGACGTAAAGCTCTGTTTCGCTTCTCGCGTGAATTGGGACACGGGTCTATGCTGACCCCTTCAGTTTTCACGAGCAGTAGCTCCTCGAGGAGATAGTGCCTCGAAAGATATGGTCCAAATGGATCCAGGCTCTAGGTCTTCCGAAAGATGACCATTGCAAGTGCTGATCGCTAGACTGTTTATGTTAAATATTTTCTGGACTAATTCACAAAGATTGGAGTGAAATAGAAATTTGTTTGCCCTATTAAGGCTTCCGTAAAATTCAACAGAAAAGTAAAACCGCAGTACACACTTGGTTAACCCTTTCGATCTTCATGTCAAGTATACTCGTTATTACGCAGAAAAAATTGCATTTGCTGTTTAAAGTAAAATTTAGGCAGAACAAAAAGCATATTCGTAGTTTTAACATATTTTAGGAAAAAGAAGAAAAAACACTAGAAACAAAGATCTGCTGTATATGTGCGAGGGCTGTTTGATAAGGCAGTTACTTTTTTTTTTTTTTTTGACAATGTCCCTGGTTGGTTAGAGGGTTTACAATCGCGATCAGGCTTGTGTCGTTTCCACCAAGCTGCATTAATATTCTCACTATCCTTGGATGAGGTAAGCATTTAGAGAGCATATATACCGCGTAGAACGGCAAGAGGGTAAAAGGTGTATGTACCCCCCACCAGCATAGCTCTCTCGCCTTCGTAAAGTAGACCGACGGAGGTCAACACTGCACACACGGGCTACGGAGCCACGTCAGCCGGAAAGAGATCTTCTCTATCTCGATAAGCCCGAGAGGCTCTCCAACGCCTTCAGACTTTGCTCTTCTTCCCGGTGATGTTCACTCCGTCCGTGAATTCATTCGATATCGTGTGCCCCAAACGATCCGCGAATACTCAGAAACTCTTCCAGACACCGACAAATGCCTTCTTTGGAATTTTTCTCGACTCATAAGATCTTTTTCATTTGCATTGATCGGTTCCAAGTCTATACTGTTCGAAAAATGATCTCTGATTGATCTTACTGTGTAACCAGTTTTCCCGTCTTGATGATTGATTTCGAACCCCTGACCTCTAAAGAGACTGTTAATAAATGTGCCAACATGGCTTCCAGCTCTAGAGACAATCGGGAAACTGTTTGTTCCTGAACTGATCTTCCTTCTGATCTTGATATGACGAACTTAACGTTCTTAGTTAACGTTCCAGACTTCTATCCGCAGTTCAAAATCTTTCGAAGTAACTACCTGGAATTCTCCCTCAATCACTGTAAAACAATTTCAAATTACGTAATCCAATTTTTGTAATCTGATCATTCCTAATCCAGTTCTGGAATCTGATCATTCTTAATCCAGTTCTGGAGTCTAATCATTCCCAGTCCAATTCCGGAGTTTAATTATTCTTAGTCTATATCTGTAGATTAATTATTCTCAGTCTATTTCTGGAGTCTGATCATTCATAGTCCAGTTCACACCCACCTCCACTATCCGAACAGTCAACACCATCGTTTGAAGACCCAGATCTCGAACCCTTTATCGAACCCCTTTCCAAAAGTCTCGCCAGTTTCCTGGCCAACTTTCGAATCCCTCGGAAAATACTCTATTCGGATCACTCTTGATTCCAATCGAGCCTCTAGCTGTTACGGAGACAGAGATCAGTGACACACCCGGGGCTCCTCGTACCCTTTAGAGGAGGCAAGTACATTTGAATTCATTGAGCGGTCATCAAGGGATTAGAGCATCATTCGGAACGGCTGCTCGTCGTGGGCGTCCGGCTCTCGACGTGGTTTCGCAACAGCTCGAGGCGTCCGCGCGCGGTTACATGGAACTCCCTGGTTTCGAGTTCCTGGAAAAAGACGCCGATGGAAAGTGGCGTAAGGTCGCCAGTAGTAGCTGCCCTCCGCGACGCAGTAATTATTCATTGATTGTCGCAAACAGGGGGACACACGTTGGACACGGTTACTCATGTTTTATCTTCTATTGCCCACCTCTGGATGAGATCACTCGGAGAAGGGCCTGACTTCGGTGTCTACACTTTTAGGCTCAAATCCTTAGAGGATTCATCGTCCTAGGGGTGTTCCCTTAATTTCTAGGCTGGACATTATCCAAATCAAGACCTAAACAAGACTAAATCCATATCAAATTCAAACCTAACCCGTTCGTTCCTTCCGTAGATCACGTTTATCTTTACGTCCCGATCGTGGAGCCCGATTAGAATCGCGTCAGTGGATCCACAGACCCGTGAGAAACGAACAAGAGAAGGAGAGCCTCTCTCTATCTGTGCGCCGTGCGCGCGGCACCGACATAGCGGTTTTGTTTTTAAACGGAACCCCAGGGAGGGGGGAATGAATCATCCGTGGTTACGGGATGGAATGCCACCGGGATTAGCGATAGAGAGAAAGAAACAGGATCAACAGTTAGTGAAATGGGGTTCACGGATCTCCCTCGGAGAAGTTTCGTTTTCTCGGAGTATCGTTTCCTGGTTTATCGATCCTCCTATTGCTGTGACTCAGCCCGCACCTTCGTACCGGGTTTCTCTCGCGGGACCTTTTGTATCGAGGGTGGCATCAAGTTCCCTTGGTCCTGGATAGATACACGCACCGCCTCTCGAGAGATATTGCAATTGTTTCACTAGTATCTTTGCTGTCGTAACAACTCAGACAGGTTACATCGAACCCTTTGGGATCTTTGTAAATTCCTTGTTCGAGGTCAGTTAGATTTTTTTTTTAAATTGAGAACCCCCATTTTTGATACTAAAAATGGCAGTTCCCATGAAGAAAACCGAACTGACCTCTAAATTTGACCTCTGATGCCTCGTTTTAAATACTAAAACTTTCGTATCAAACATATTTTGCTAAAACTTCATCCTTCTGGGATAATCTAGGGTACTTATCTGTTCGGTACACCTTGTATATCACAATTACGTTTGACCCAAGAAAATCGGACGATTTTAGTGTAAATTTACAACGGCAAATATATACCCAAGATTCTGTGCCTTTAATTCTACGAAGTTAATTAATTTCTCTCCCGAGAGGCTCATAAAAAGCTTCTGATATTCGCCTAACTGACTAACACTTCCGCGTAACAAAGAGTGTAATTTCAATTACGGAAAACAGAGACGAGAATAGAATTACATCCGTGAATGAATGTGCTTTCGTTCGATTGGACTATGATGGTTAAACGGCCGCGATGAACGGGTTACAAGAAGACGACGGCTACTTATGGTGTAACCCCTAATGGCCTAGAGTAGAGTCTTCCTCTGGGCCCGCGGCACCAGTGGCACCGACACGCCGATGACGAAAGAGGGAGGGGGGAAGGGGGTCTTGTCCCGCTCGTAAACCCGACGGTTAAATTTTCTGCTGCACTCACGGGGCAATCGAGGGACGGAAATGAGTTTAACAATGACTGCAGAGACGACGATCCGGTTGCATAGGTGGCCTTGGCAGTGATAAATAGAGAGCCGCAGTCGCGTAGCTTCTAACCCATTGGTCATTCTATCATCCGAACTGTCCCACCCGAGAAAAGCAATTCCCAATATCGTAATGGAATCTCGAGTCTTCCGACTTAATTGAAAGAACCTTGCCAAACCACAGTCGACGTTAGTTATTTCGTTGCATTTCATAATTTTTTCACTTCTTTTCTTTTTATCACTTACCTACCCGAGTTTCTAGTATTTTTTATTATTTATTGTTAACCCTTTAATGCTCAGACAGTTAAATCGTTATTTTAAAACGATGAGACTGATATCTGGACCCCAGAGGCAGAGTGTATTAAGTCGCACGTTTTTCAAACTTTAGAGGAGAAGCAAATCGATGGTGCGAAAACTTTGTAACTTTGGGACCTTTCTGTAAGAATGCAACGAGAAACAATTGCTTCGTATTGCAACTTTATCAAAATTTTTTTTACACATTCAGTAAACTAATCTTTCATTAGAAGAAAAACTCAAGTCAGTTGGAGTAATTTAAAAATAATGTTGTTAAAAGTGTTTGAAAGTTTAAAAAGTGAAAAAGTTCGTTAATATCGATTAGAATATTTTCAACAAGTTGTCCCTTTTGCCAAACTTGGCGACAGAAGTAGGAACACGTTCATATTCTGTGGTTCTAGCGTAAATCATCCTGAACAGCATTCGTGTGTAGACGCGGGCGTGCTCGGACGATTAACGGCTCAATTTTCCGCAGCGTCTGATCTTGAACCGCTCGTGTTCCACTGATCCGGGCCGATTGTACGGGTCCGAGGACACGATCGCGACGGGTGTTAGGCAGAAATCACGAGTCTGTTGTGTGTTTAATTGCCCGCGCAACCTCCTTCGAGGATTTTTCGGGTCAAGGAAATTCCGCGCGCCCGGGGATTCATGGAAACGACGGACGATCCACGTGAACACAAATGATTTCTGCTATATCGGGGCCATAAATCCGTCCGACTGTACGAATCATCGGTTGTGTATCACAGGACACTACAGTAAATTCTCGATAAATGTTCGAAGGCTTCTTGACACTGAACATTAAATATTTCGTAAACTAATTGCCATATGCGGTTGTAAAAAATATCATTGGATTCAGAATTCGAAGGTTTATCAGTGTGTAAAATGTTATTAAAAATCAACGTTACACCTGGGGACCTCCCCTTGTCAGGGTCGAGGAGCCTTCGAACACTCGTCGAGGATTTACTGTAGATTGCCTTAGGATAGTAGGACACTCCAGATCGATGCTGTTTAGTAGTTGAAATATTGGAAATATTTATGATGGTATTAACTA